ACTCGGGCGCGCTATTAAGTGCATGTGATGTGTATTGAGCTCAGCGCAAATCTGTTGATGTACCACATGCAGTACTGGCGTTTATGTGCTAACGCCAACACATGATTGCACTCTCGCAGGTCGAGCAATGCAGTTGCACATATCGTCATCATCATCATATTTTCGATCGTTTATCCTCATTAGGGTCACGTGTTGTCATTCATACGGCATAATAATAGCTTTTGTGTTAACCCTTTCCGGGACAGCGGTTACTACAGTGGACAGCTTATCATGTTACCAGTATACGCACACAGTTTTGTAAAGTGACGCAAGTGATAATAGTGTGCCTTGCGATATGAATAACGTTGCCCAGGCATTACTGGAGATGACATCTTGGCGACAGTTATGGAGCTTCATCGCCATGTTCTTCATCGCCAGTCCTTTGTTCTCACTGGAATGAATATTTTAGGGCTATCAGCAATGCTAGTAGCTGAAGCTAGCTTGGCTAACAGCTATTCTCATCCACAGCTAGCTTGTACTTGCTGACCCACGCAGCTATATGGACACTGTGTCAGCCTATTGGCCAGATAGTTCGCTTTTCTACATACCGCAAGAGTCGAAAGTCCTCTGTAAATTAGCATATTGGCACATGAGTTGCCTGCCACAAACGTCATGTGAGATTTGTCGATTTCAATGCGAATAAAAATAATTGGATGTTATTTTTCAGCAAAAATTGCATGGAGAAAGCAGGTCATGCCTCATTATGGCATGGAACTGACTGACATCTTGACGTTTTCGCACACGCACACAAACACACACAGTTTAACAGGATTATCCGCTTCACTCATGACAACCTCTTCCAGCCTAATTCATAGTGTCTTTTTGGGGGGGGGGTTGGTGGAGGGGTGGGTGGGTGCTGGAGGAAATGTTCACGTCATCTTAAAAGTAATCCCCCTCTCGGTTGGGGCACGCCCCCGCAGGTGCTATATGCCCGTGGACATGTTCGGCACATGCACTAAATGCTTGCACGGGTCAACATTTGCATGTGAGCGCATGATGAAGAGCAGGCCTCCATCTCATGTTTTTGAGCTGCCCTCAAACATCACCGATGGGCCTTGTTTTGATCCCGCTGCCAAGGCCTTGCTGTTCTTAAGCCACATGCATACTTCACCCTGTGTGCGTGTGTGTGTGCGCGCGTGAGCGTGCATGTGTGTGTTTGCAGTGTCGTGTGGTTGCAAACCACACGACAAGGCTTGGCTGTATTCCGTCTTCTTCCCAACTTTGCCATCGCAAGTCTCTGCGGCATACTTCTCTTCTCGCTGCTTTTTCACAGCTGAGAGGCTGTTTTTTTTCTTTCTTTTTTTTTTTCCCCCGCCCCTACAGTCTCCGTATCTTGCTGACAATATGTTGTGCTGAACAAAGTGCAGCGGACTGATGCCTATCTGCTACTGTGGCTTGAAAACACTCGCACTGTCATCACATTGTTTAGAATTCCTGAATCCTTACTGTGAGTCTTCATCAGACCGTTTTCATGTTTCCTGGTGTTATTTTAATCAAGTGAGGAAAGACTGATCTAAAAAAAAAAAATTGCATTTTGAGTCGACACTTCCCTTTGTCTGACATATCAGATAATTGTCTCTTACTATTATTTACATGTCTTTTTATGACGTTTCATTTATTTCTGCCTTTGTTCATCATATCAGCCATATTCTGATTTAAAAAAAAAAAAAACAAGAATAAGGGCTTTGTGCCATTTGAGCGCTGGTGGCTCCAGACAGTATCAGTGCAGGGATAATGACACACGAATGGGAAATGCGAGGATTAGCACGTGGCTAAGCTCGTTGTTACCACAGATTGCGCTGCCAGGCCGAGCAATGAGTGAGGCCCAACTGCCTGGATTCCGTTTCGTCGGATGAGTGGTTGTGCCCGGGGAGGGCGGGATTGTCGGCCGTCTGGCAGACTGCCCCTTGTCGCGGCTCATGGGTTCGGATTGACGGGTCGTAATGTCGGGTTGTATTATCTTTGTGGGTTTACATGGGCAAGAACCAAAGACACTACTAATCAATTGTCATTTTTAGCTATGACAGGCAGCATGCTGCTCTCTCAATTGATCAAATCTACACGGTCTACTCTGGATGATTGATGATACACAAAAATGCTTTTAGTGTTGGGGCTGATTTTTTTTTTCAGGCTGAGAAACATCTTGTCAATTTGTAATTAAAATCTCGATCTCAAAATTCATTTCTGTTCCCGTGGAGACCGCACCAAGCAACAAAACAAGGATAGTGACAGGCAGGCCTCATTAGCTGTGCCATCTGATCTGTGTGTGTTACCGCTGTGACTCACCTCAATAGTGTCAAACTACCTGACAAAACACAACACCACACACTTGCTGTCAGAGCGACAATACAGGAGTATGCCTCCGCTTTGCCTCTGCCAGTCACCTCACGTTTGTTTATTCAAAGCACAGATGACAGTGTAATTATTGAGTAGCGACGACACTACATGTCACGTTAGCGTAACTGTTTCACATTTAAATGCAGTTCTGCATTGCAAGTTGTCGAGCCTCTTTTATAAATATTCCTCTCCAATTTGCACACTCCATTTAGCTTTCAAATATGCAGCCCTGTGCCCTGACTAATTACACTGCGATGCAGAGGGATTGTAGTTCGTGAGTGTTCGTCGTGGAAACGCAACCCCACAAACAAGGTTAACTCAAAACATTTGTGTCTTTGACTTGCTGGCTATGAGGCTAATTTTTTTTTCTTGTATAAAATAGTCATTCACGTGTTCCCAATGCAAATGCTCTGCTATGTATTGAGCTATCTATCTATCTATCGAGCTAGCTAGCTCAGCTAGCTAGCTAGCGATAGATAGATCGCTAGCTAGCTAGCCATCTAATCTAGCTAACTATTAGCTAGTTATCTAGCTCACTCGCTTTAGCTCTAATGCCACTTGCCAGCATCAACAAAGAAGCACAACTTGACAAATAACTGTAAAATTATGATAGTCCTTAAAAATGATCAAATCAATGAGATCATATAAAATATTCAGAAATAAACAAAGAATTGAACAATATAGTAAAATAAAATAACTCAAATTATAAAAATGTACCGGGAAATTTTTATTTGACCATTTTGATGCAATACATACATAATTTTGTTTTACAATTCTAAAGTGATCATGATTCTTTCAGAAAAAGATTTCAATCTTTAGTTTGTCAAGCAGAAGGCTGCCCGATTATTCGCATTACGTAAATCCCCTTTAAAATCTATTTTTTTCTTGGCATTTCTTTTCATGGATTCCTCTAATCTGAATAGAAAGCAAGTGTAAGTTAAGCAGCAAGTCTTTACTCAGTGCAGCCTTTGAGATGTTCAATGAAAAGTGTGCTGTGATCAACCAAATAAACATTAACTAGCACAAAGCAGCACCTTGTTCAGAGGTAAAGGAAGAAAAAAAGTCAATGACTTCATGACAAGAATTTTATTTTCTTTTTTTTCTTCTTTTTAAATTACATTTTGCATTAAATTAAAGTGTTTTTTAAAATTCCTTTACAACATACATTAAGCTGTGAATCAGATGTTAAGGAGGTGGAGAGTACAGGGCAAAAAACATGTGACGTCACAATATTTTACAAGCTTACAAAGGTCACGTCATCGTTTGGTCGCTTCGCTTCGCGCGTCGCGTGTTATTGAGGAATGGGTGAGAGACGACAAGGCACACACACACCAGAGAACTTCACTGGCCATTGCAGCCTTAAACACTTTGCACTAATTGGACCATGAACTAGATTCAGCCGTTTATACAGAATGTGCACATTGGAACATATTCTCTTCTCCTCACATTCTGCATGTGACCACTCCAAACATTTTGGACATTGTTTGTGTCAGGGGGGCACAGGAACCTGCAAAGCTGTAGCATGCTGCATTCAAGAGAACTGGGATGTTGGAAATTTCAAGAAAGACTAAAAACTGTATTCACTTGTTGAGCTGGAGCTTAGCTTATCTCAGCAGACTTTGGGCGACACGTTGGATACACTCAGGACTGGTTGTCAGCCAATCGCAAGTAAGTTATTTGGTTACATGCATTTTGAAATGATCAGAAAAGAAAACCATTGACAAGTCTTGGAATAAGCTCAAATTCCCAGCAGCCTTGAATGCAGCATTCCTAGTCCCAAGTGCTGTCTCTCTTTCTAATTGCTGTGGTTTGCGATGAAGTTGGCTTCCCTCCACTAAGAAATGAAAAAAAAAAAACCCAAAACAACCAAACAAACAAATGTTCAATATAAAATGTTCACCTATCTACACATACAACACTAAAGGAGTGCTTTGATTTAATTGTGGGGACGTGTCCTCAAAAATGAAACGTAACATTAGTTAACATTGAACTACAAACTCGCCTTACAAAAAGGGGGCGCTTTTTTCATTATTATTAGTTGACGTTTTGTCATTGTGTCTTCACAGGAACCAGCCTGTTTAAGACGACGCAAGAAGCCAAGAAACACCTTCCGGTGTCACTTCCAGGTTAGCTTGGGTCGCTAACGCTATGCTAACCGCTACCGGCGCACTTGCAGAGCGAAAGTTTCAGTCAGTCAGTCGGTCGTCTCGCAGCCTTCCTTTGCGGTGTGGCGTACCACAAGAAAAGTACAATTGTATAAAACACAAAAATGGGGGAAAAAAAAACACTCAACAACAATGACGACGTCTCGGTGGACACACAACAGAAGACGCTCATTGATGGCACAGTCGACAACATAAATGTGTGTGGTTGTGTGCCTGTGTGTGTGTGCATGTGTACATGTGTAGGGGAGCAGAATTACAACAATAACACCTACATTCTTTAATTGCATTTTTATCAAATCAGGGCAACATGATGTAAGAAAAAAAACCAAACAGTAAAAACACTACAAGTTAACAGCTATCGAAGAAAACACAGTCACTACTTCAAGGGTGTAAGGCACAAATTTACATGTGGGGAGGGCTTTATGAAACAAAATTCTCGGATCACTGGTGGTGTTTATCATATGACGTGGCCAATCAGGAGCGACATTACTGACTCACGCGCACGCACGCGCACAAACACACACAAACACACGCACACAAAACACGGTGCTGATTGGAGGAGTGAAAAGGGCAAATATTCCTTTTGAATTAGAAATGGTCTGTGACAGTAAAAGTCCATTGTGGCACACTGTAAATAAATATCTTCTCCTCCTCACCTTAAGTCATTAAAAAAAAATCTACTGGCTCCAGTTTACTGACTTTAAATAGGTGTTGTTGTTTTTTTTTTTTTAAATCACACTTGATTAATTCATATTAAAAAGATCATATGCCCACTCTCTTTGTTGAGCCTAAAAAGTCTTTTTGTTTCTCTTCAAAAGCACTTCATAAAAAATAAATACAACAAGCTATTAGTATTAACAGTCAAATGTTGTTCAGTGAAAAGGGAGGAGTCTTCTATGTCCAGGCCCGTCCAGGCGGCGACGTGATTGCGGTAACACTTGGAGGCTTTTCACAGTAGTCCAACAGGCAGCTGACTTTTCAGTCTCCGAGTCGGCTGGACCTCAATGTACTGTATGCCCCAAAACCCCCCCGGCCATTCCTCAACCACCTGACTTCATTTTGTCCTTGAAGAGATCAAGAAAGCCCCCACTTCACCATGCTACACAGATCAAATCATCGGGGTCTTCTTTTGTTTGAGTAGCAAGCGTTCCCCGGCTCGGATGTTATTTACATATTTGTATAAAAGAAAGTGTTTTCTTAAAAAACAAAAAAAAAAGACGGTGTCGGATTATCCATTGTACTGTACACCCAACAAAGGACTGATCAAGTAGTCCAAATGGTCTCCGTCAGACTATGTGCAGCCATCACTGGACTTGACCTTTGTGGAGAGCGACACAATGGATGGTTTTGGGGGGACGTCGGGCTTGAGGTGCTTGATGCCCCCACGGGGCAGCGAACCATAGGAGCTCATGGCCGGCTGCCGTGACAGAGATATGCCCTGCGCTGTCATTTGTATGGAGTCCACCCGCTGCGGCGCGGGGGGCGGCGTCTCCACGCGGTTGAAGCTCTGGTGCCTCGCCAAATGGGAGGAGTTGGACGAGTTGGTGTTGTGCTTCTTGAGGCCGGACGAGCCCGAGGCGGAGGACGACGAGCCTTTCCGGAGGCCGTAGACGGACGAGTGCACCTCGAGGCGTTTGCCCATCTGCGGCACCGCGGGGGGAACGGTGAGCGAAGCCTCTCGTTGGGGCACGCGGGGTGGCAGCGCCCCGTCCGGATCCACCATGGTGAGATTGTGGTGGGGGTTTTTGACCGTCTTGTACTCCAGGGTGGCGCCCTGGTCGTCCATGAGGCCCATGCCGAGGTCGCTGGGGTGAGGCTGCTCAACGTACTCGTGCTGGTAGGACTGCTGCAGGTGAGGAGGGAGCTGGTGCTGGGGCAGAGGCAGAGGCAACACCACCACGCTGGGGATGTGCCCCGGGGACGCCCTCAGGGGCAGGTCGGAGATGACGGGGGAGCCGATGGGCGGCATGTCCTTGGTGCAAGCGTTGATGAGGTTCTGGTTGCGCTCCCACTCGCGGCTCCCCCGGCTGGGCTTGCGGCGCGGCTGCATGGGAGTGGACTCGGGCGTCGGCAGAGCGGTGAGGTCGAGGTGGTGCTGCTCGGCTTTGATCAGCATCTTCGCGTTGGGCGTCAGTCGCCCGTTGTGCATCAACGGCGTGAGCATGGCCTCGGGTCGGCCGTCTTTGGCCTGCGTCTCGAACAGACCCGTCAGTTTGGTTACGCTGTTCATGGAGCCCCGGCGCGAGTGGAGGTGGTGGTTCTCCTTGTCTTTGCGACCGGGCAGGTCCAAGTCCCGCCGCCGGTGGTCGCAAACGCAGTAAACGATAATGCCGGAAAATATGGCGCCCATGGTGAACGCCAGGATGACGGCGATGGCCAACAGCGTGACGGGAACCAACTGGTCGCGGCCCTTCTGGTAGCTCTCACGGATCACACCTGCCAGAGAGAGAGGATATTCACACGTTCAGATCCAATTGGAACACTGGAAAAAAAACGACAGCGTTCACGTGCTGTCTAACCGCCGTTCATCAACTGTGTTATTGATGCTACTGACGCAGTGTTAGATTAGGCCTCTCCGGCACAGCCAATTAGACGGGAGACTTGAGCGCGGCGGTTTTATCCCTCTGACCTCTCTCTTGCTTGGCTCTCACACATAACTTGTTGAAACCAGTTACGACTGCAGAGTCACACGATGTCACATGGGCTAAGCAGATTAGACCTTCTTCGGCATCCGGCAGAATTAGGCTGCACGGTTGTGTCTCGACCTTTCTGCCATCCATTAAATAGTTCAACTGAGAATATGCAGTCGTCTGGGAGTTAGTATAATAGTGCAAGCATTAAAGACGGAAGGACTGGGGTGAAGCTCCGCCCAGAACTTTTTAACGGTTCGATACGGCACTTTTGCGGGATCTCTGTGTCAAAGAGATGAAACACACATTGTGATCAATGGCATTCCTGAAGTGTGGATGTTGTCATCGCTGCACCTTCATTGAAATGTGTTTTGATTAAAAAAAAAAAAAAAAAAAAAAAAAAAAAACGTCTCCGAATGGAAAGGATATTCAAATTCTTCTTTTGCCTTTGCATCACGTTACAAGTTTTATCGCTACTTGTTGCTAATTGAAAGAAATTGAAACCGCAGGTTTCCAAGAAAAAAAAAAGGTTGCGGGTCATTCATTATGTGTATAATTGGACTACCCCCCAACACACACACACACACACACACACACACACACACACACACACACACACACACACACACACACACACACACACATATGAAAGGACAGAAAATAATATTAAACTTACAAAGAATAGCGGTCTCATAACAAACATGCAAATGAAAACTTGGTTTATCCTATCATGAGTTAGCACCTTCTCAAATTGCTTTCAGCTGCCACATTTAATATCCCCCCCTCAAATTCAATCTCACTGTGTTTTGTTGAGCCCGATTCACATTTAAAAATCACTGATTAAAAAAAAAAACAACCCCAAAACAAAACTAAACAAAAAAGGGAAAAAAAAAAAAAACATCCGCCAAAATGAAAAAGGATATGAATGGGAATAAAGAAAGAAGGCTGAAACGTACCAGAACGCTTTTTGCTTCTCGGATGCAAATGGCTGACATTTCATAAAGCCGCCATCATATCTGATCAATCTGAGAGGATTCATTAAGAAAAAAATATGATTGCACGCCAAAGCCAGCCAGCTATGTCATAACGCTTTTTACCTCCTTCTTCGTCTCTGTCGATTTTCAACATGAGGTCAGATTTCGCTTTTTGAATGGAACTACTGAAAAAAAGTTTATAGCGCATTCTCACACCTGACCCGTGTTGCACACGTGTCATTTCGCACTGACGCACCATCAAGCAGGTGGGCTTTATCACAAACACTTCCGATGTGCACCGCACGCTTCAGTGTGCCAGCGTAGCGTGACTTTGTTATTTGAGCGCCCCTTTCCGCGGTAAAATGACTTTCAGAAGAAAAAAAAAAGTTATTGAAAGTGACAAGTCGAAATATGAAGAGAAAATCATCTTGTGAACTGAACTACAAAGGAAAAGGAACTTGAAGGTCACAGAACAAAACACGCACAAATGCATTCCGTTTTTCATGATACGTTTCTCCGTGCGTAGATAAAAGATCCACTCTCCTAACCCGACAAAAAGGGTTTGACGCAAACAACAAAATAACAATTTTTATTTTCAATGCAAAGGGCTCTCTAGCTTAAAAATGACCATTCAAGGATAGCACGAAACTCCGGAACAATAAACTAACATTAACTCAATTTGTTCTGCAGATTATTCCAAATCCATAAAATAATAGTACCGTATTTTCCGCATTAAAAGGCGCACCTAAAAGCCTTCCATTTTCTTAAAAGCTCACAGCGCGCCTTAAAATCCGATGCGCCTTGTGTATGGTCATTACGGTAATATTTCGACCCCAAAATGGCTCCTTGCTAGAGACATGCTAACAACGCAGAGTTCAAACTTAAGGCGATCGGGTTACGCAGTTGAACACGGAAATAGAGCAGCGGCAAGAGAGTTCAACGTTCACGAGTCAATGTTATAACTTGCTGTTGGTTAAGTGAACTGTGTCGCTGATTTATTAAATACGTTTTACTGACATCTGATCGTTCTGTTGGTGTTTCCTTGAGCGTAGCTCCATCTAGTGGATGCGTTGTCGATTGCGTCTTATCATGCGATGTGCCCAATGTATGAAAAAAAAAAGACAAAATTGACCATTCATTGACGGTGCGCCCCATAATTAAGTGCGCCTTTTAGTGAGGAAAATACGGTATATTTTTTCCAGTTTTTCCCAGGACTTAACCCCTATTTTTGGGGAAAATGTATTTAGAATATTTTTGGTTTGTAAAGGAAATAACTTCCCCGCCCCTCACCCCCCAAAAAATCTATTTGGGTGCACTCCAGAGTGTGGTCACGGTCGCATCCCTGTTCTACATTATTATAATTCTTCATTTTATTGTCGAAGAACTTTTGGAAACCCATCCAGGCTCCCAGAAAAGCTGTGGTGGCTAGCATGTGTCACCAAACACATTTGGAGCTCATCTCAAACCCCCAGAGCAAAACACCACACAAACCCCCAGATGGCAGGATAATCTGATCTCGTGGAAACCGAAATCCAGACTCCGCTTAACCAACATCCGTAATGCTCCCACACTGCTCTGAGTTGAGAAACATGAGCCCGAGCCTGCTCTGTGAAGTGAAATAAAGTGCTGGCTAGCGTGACGAGGGTGCGATCGTAAACACATACCTGACTTGTCTTTTTAACGGGGTGACGGTGACGTGCGGCTCGGTCATTCTTCACCGGGAGCTTAACTAAACATTTTCGCCAGACAAAAACGTGGACACGCCCGCCTGAGGAGATAGCGTGTCTGGCGTTATCTACGGTGGAGAACAAAGCCGACTGTTGTCCCCGATGACTTTGGCGCTAACATCTGCTTCTCATCTCAGTGGCTGATGTCTCAAAACGAAATTTGGAAATATTTTTTTATCTGCCGGGCTTTTGTTTTGTTGATTTGGATCTTTTCCAGGTTTTCGAGGTTCTTCTGAAATTAGATTTTGATTTTTTTTTTTTTTTCAAAAACCTCAATATTTTTTTTTTTTGTAGATCCTTTCATGTCAATTTTAATACCTGTTTTTTTAATTTATATTATTATTTATATTTTTCATTTATATATTTTGATTAATTTGTTCTTCATTTAAAATCATTTGCGTTTTATGTTTTAATATTAAGCCGTTAATTTGTTTTTTTTTAATTTCCATTTTTAAATATTTATATACGAAAACACCTGATTTCCTTTCATGCCATTTTGAACACATAGTTGTTTTTATATTATTTATAATCTTTTTAATTTTATTTGAAAAACATTGTTTTATTGACATATTCGCCCTTTTATTTATTCGATTTTTTTTTAATATTCAAATTGACATGAACTCATGTGCAAAACACGTGCTCTCGATAAACACTTTCTTTCTCGCTTCTTTCCAAGATCATGACAATATTTCCACTAAACAAAACAAAAAACTAATAGCAAATCCTTTTATGTGCTTATAATGTTTGCGAAATGAGAATGAGTTCATCTGTCTTTTTTTCAAATTTTGCCCCAACAAGGAGACCAACATTCACTCACGACATTTTGGAGGTCAGAGGGCAATGAGTCAATCTGGTCGAACGTTTAATAGAAGGCCGGCTGTGGCGCTTTGTTGTGGTCTTGGGGAGGTTAATGCCCCTGTTTAACCTCCAATGCATGCCTCTCCCTGTCTGCCTTTTTTTTTTTTTGGTCTAAAACTAAATCCTTTCATTCTCTCTTGTGCACTTCCACGGATCACACGACACTCGCTTGCACACTTCCTGTGAAGGAAAAACTTTGAAGACCTCCAGCTTTCATTTGACAAATTGTTTCCCGCCATCAAAGAGAAAATAACAGAGGACGCCGGAGAAGTTTTAAATGCTGCTCGTGTTCCTGGCCTCTGGGAATATTGACAACTTTTCAAAAAACTTAAGCAGGGTACAGACACTCACATAGATTTTTGGAACAGATTTTCAAAACTTGAGCGCATGACACACATGAGGTGTCGTACGACAAGCACGCTGCATTAAAGGGAATGAAAGGAGCCTATTTGAGTACCAATGATTGAAGTCGGCCTTGGCCACACCCACTGTGGCATAACCTTCCCTCTCGCAGAGCTGCCGGGCTGCGCTCGTCTGCGAAATGATCAACATCACGTCAAACCCGCTGCTGGATTTACAGTGGTTACGAAAACAGTACCCTAGACGGTTTTTCATTGTTGCCCCAACTCTTTAATTTTGCGATTATAAATATTATGGTTGCCTGCCTCGAATAATGACGCTGAACACACCCCGCGCCACAGAATCATCACTCAGGATACTATTTCAGAGACATCCAAACATCAGACTGTTGCCCCACTTCAGTCATGATTTATAATCTGGTTTGTTGGTGAATGCAACAGCAGGCCTTTTCCGTCCAGCCGGTTTGATAGATTTAAATTTCATGTGCCCTGCGGATTCAGCATCCCCACATTGCACACGCATACCTCCAGATCCTCTGACATATATTCTTCACAGTCAAAACAGCCTTGGTTACTTGCAAAACCGCGTTAGTTGGTGTCGAACACACGTTCACGCTGCTACTTTTATCCCATCAGGCGCTGCTCCGGTCGACTTAAAGCCACAGAGCTGGTCTTTGTGTCGACGATGGGAAAATGCTCTAAGGTAGGAGACGCATCACGGCGGGCTGATGGGTACACCACAAATCTCTTACTTAACACCACAAACTCTCAGACATTGTCGGGGGAAGAAGAGTGAATATTGATATTTATCAAGCCTAAAAATGTCAACGACTGTGGAGCTTGATGTTGTAAAGAAAGAACCCATTATTAAAAAAAAAAAAAAAAGCCCATTATAACTGAAATACTGACAGATGTTGCTATTTAAAGCAGTATTGAATTTGTTTTTTGCTTAAGGGTCTTCCTTACATTTGAAATGTCATGTCTGTGAAGAATAACAACGGACAGTACTTTAAGTAAAAACAGATAAAAAAAAATAGGCAAGTTGTGACTTGAGAATGGCAGTCTTTTATATGCAGCATCCTGTTTAGTCTGATCTGTTTTGAATACATATCTTTTTTTCCCCCATTGCTAGAAATTCAATTGGACAAGTAATAAAGACTGTAAATGCACGTGAGTGTCTTCTCTATCGTGCACGTCTCATTTTGAAATTTGCTTGATCTCATTTAGCTGTTTTTCAATCTGTATTTATCGCCTTGTTTTGTAATGTAAAATGTAGTACAATAAATGGCAATCAACTTTGGAATGACGTGCTAAGTGAAGTGTTGCATTTTAATGATTCTCCATGCTAATGAACTTTCATGTGTAGTTTTTTTTCAGCAACAGTTTTGCTAGCTTGTTAGGGTAGCCATCTAAGCTAGCAATTGCACTACTGTATTTTCAAGCCCCCCCAACCCTAACTCTAACCCCTTCCCAATGTTCACCAAAAGACGGGATGTGCCGATTCTGCTACAAAAAACAAAAAGAACCCAAAAAAACAAAAAATCAGTTCGCATTCTCAGGGTTCCCCTGTTAGCCACACACAGCAACAAAGACGACCACACAGCTTAAGTATCGAGTCATAAAGCACCATAAAATAACCATAAAATATGTATTTTTGATTATTGTCCTAGGTGGTTGACCAGTATTTTAGACCTAGTTAGTGTCGGCTTGGCAACATAGGAACTATTCTTCTTCACGAGGCTAGAGTGCCATTCAAATGCTTTACATGTTAGCATCCTACTTTCAAATGGCAACAGATTGCTTCTTTAGTGAACCAATCAAAGCTTATCTGTGCGCATTCAAGGGGCACTCACAGTCATGTTTTTATTCAAAATAAAAGACGGCACGCTGATGAGACGCTTATAATTAAATGTGTGATCTTTTAATTGCGCGGCTCCGTTTATTAATAATCAATTCACTAACCTTTGCATGTCGGTACATGCATCATCTTGTTCACACTGACAGTCTGCGCTAATCATCACGGTTTGTATTCCTGTTTTGTTTGTTGATGTTAGGAGGTGCTACACACACCAGTCAAAAACCCCCTTAGAAATGTTACGAATAAATAGATATTGCTTCTTTTTTTTTGTCTCCTACGTGCGCGCCAAGTATTTATGTGCATCAAGCCATGTTGATGTTAGGAGGTGCTACACACACCAGTCAAACAAGCCCCTTAGAAATGTTACGAATACATAGATATTGCTTCTTTTTTTTTGTCTCCTATGTGTGCGCCAAGTATTTATGTGCATCAAGCCGAACAGATGCTGCCCGATGGCGCACAAAGAGCAGCAATAGCATCAAATGGTGAACTACAGGACTGAAAGAGAGCAAAAGCCTATGTTTCAGGCAGAAGGCGGAAGCAAAACATACAAATGGCAACGCAAGCTGTGAAAATTAGCCAGCGAGAGGAGAACAATGAGCTAATCAGGGGAGGAAACTGCTGCTTGCGTCAGTTGAGGAAGTGCGTAACGTCGGGAAAATATAAAGGTTTCTGTTTTGGGTACGAGTCACAATGATTCACAATTATTCACCTGCTTCACGCACACTCGACTCTCTGAGCTTTTGACCATTGAGAAACCCTCCAAATCTTCAGGCCAAGATTGGAGTGCAATAATGACCGGACTGGGACTACCCACAGCGCTGATTATTTGTTCTTATTGTCGCTAAGTCATGATGACCCATATTTGTAGAACAATAGAAAGAATGTACGTGTATTGTTTAAAATTAGCCTTTGAAAACATGTGCAGTGAACCCCCATTTACTGCACAGGATATGTTCTCGCAATAGGTTACAATCCTGAAATATAGTTTTATTACCCCTCCCCCAAATGCTTTAAACATGTTTAAAAGTATTGAAACAGATTTTTAAAAAAATGTACTTTAAATGTACACACACAACCTTCAAGCATAAAATGCAGAACAAATACTGCCCACGTTGTCGTTTCTGTGTACAGACGGCTGGTGGCGTGTGAACGTCTGAAAGTGAGCTGTGGTCGACAGCAGTTCCTGCGTGAGTGTGCTCTTTTTTCAGTTGGAGAATACATAAATCAAAGTTGTGTCAAAATGAAGTCGATGTTAAAGTTAAGTTGATTTAATTGTTTTTGTGTGGTTTTTTTTTTTTTTTAACCAAGAGAAGATGACATGCACAAGGACTGACAAGGCATTTTGTATGTTTGAATATGTTCAAAAACAGTAAAACAAGAGTGTGGTTCGCATTTGTTGAGAGAACATTATATTTATATATAAATGTCGACCAAGTGGAAAACCAATTTGGACATGGTGCCTATTTAAATAAGTTTCTTTTCTTTTTTGTGACCAAGATATTCATATTTCAAATAATTATTTATTTATTGTATGTCTTTATTTCGGAAATCAACTTTAAAAAAAAGCCATTGTACTTCCTTCCTCTGTTGTTGAAGTATACTTAAACTATATTTCGATCTGCCCCAAATTGATTCTTTCTTTGAATATTAAAGATTTTATTTCGAACAAATCTGTGCTTTACCGAGTGTTAAAGCAGCGGCTGGAGTTCGAGCGAGCGCCGTGCGTCATACGAAGGTCTGACAGCAATCGGGGTGTCATTAATACCTTCTCTAACCTTCAAGATTGAAATCCGCAGCAGTGATGTCGAAATGTTCCCTTTGCCGTCTTCGGCATGAGTGAAAAATAAATAAGACATCACATCTCAATGTGAGCAAGGTCATCCTCTCGCCAAGAGCCGTTGGCAGGCTGCATTTCATGTCAAGTCGTGATGTTTTAATGACTCTAACGTTGGTCTAAAGACTGAGCAGTATTAGCAATTTTTTCCAAATATATTTCTGTTCTGTAATTCAAGTCTGACATTTTACAAGTTGTCCATTTCCAATGAATTCTGTGGCCTTTGATTTTTGCGCTCAGTTTGGAAACTTCAACTGTTGTAATTGCAGGCAATATCTCTCTCTTAAAAAAAAACAAAAAAAAACCACAAAAACACTTCTAGCCCATACAAATAAAACAATCATATATAGCGGCAGTGAAGTCAACTCAGTTCACCGCATTAAAAAGCAGCAGTTTGGCTTCGTGAACTAACCTTCAGAAAAAAAAATAGAGCCTTTCAAGTTGCTTCACGTCACTCCCAGTTAAGGTTTACTGTCATTTAAAACTATTACATAACTTTACCGCTGTCTCATATTTGAACGAAAGCAATGTCGCAACAGATGTAGACAGACAATATAACATGACTCAAAGGCACATATTCTTTATCCTCTGAAAAAATATACATAGACGAATTTTACTGCAGATAACTGAGTCACTTACAACAGTTGGGTGGAACTTCTTCGTTTGTCTGCGTGACTCTTAAACTGTTGCCTGCTGACCAAGTGGCACTCACCAGAAGGAGTCGCAATGAATTCATCCTGCTTTGACATTCTGTTTAATGATGTCATGACTGTATGCTTTTATAAAGTGGCGTAGAGCAGGGGTCCCCAACCTTTTTTGCCCCACGGACCGGTTTAAGTCAGACAATATTTTCAGGGACCGGCATTTAAGGTCTGGCGGATTAATACAACAAAATAATATGGTATGAGCTGCATGAAAACTGTGGTGTTTTCGAAATATAATAATAAACACAAGGAGCGTCTAATCTGGTCGCAACACTCTTATCGCTCTGGTAATGTTTAATGCCTTCAAAATACGATACAACGCAAATTCAAAGTGCATGAAAATGACTACTCACCACAGCCCCGAGCTTGATTTTCTGCAATCAGACAGTCCCATCTCGGGGTAATAGGAGACAATGACACCTCAAGTGTGTGGTTTATGTCCAGTCTACTTCGTAATTTTGTTTTAGTCGCTGTTGCTGCAGAAACTCCCCACCTCACACAGGTAGGATGTCGGAAATAGCAACAGTGCTATTGTGGCGATCTCAGAGTATTCAGCCATAACTTTGATCCAGTAGTTTCGAACGTACGTACTTAATAAAACGGAAATAAGGCAAGTTCTTTCTGTGCGGCCCGGTACCAAATGCCCTGCGGACCGGTACCGGTCCGCGGACCGGCGGTTGGGGACCCCTGGCGTAGAGTGCTATTTTCCGGATCAAAATTACTTTTTTTTTCTTCTTCTTCTTTTGCTCGAATGGGGAGAGATGATTTAATATATGAGTGCTTTGAGCTAAAAGTATGGTCATGCAAAAAATTCAACTGTCAAGGCACTACTGCATCTGTAAATGCGATAGATTTCTAGTGGTTGTATTATTATTATTATTATTATTATTATTATTATATACATTTTTTTTTCTTAGATGAATGCAATCTTGTTGTTTCGACTCACTTACAAAGAAAGAAAGCACAGACAACTTTTCCTTGACGAACCTCACACTACCTTTCCACACCTCAATTTCCTCTTTTTGCTTCTCATTTGTTGATTTTTCCCTTTGTTTCGATTACCTCCCGGCTGTCTTTTTTTCCTTTCGCCTCACCTCTGCATGATTGTCCTTCTTGTTAAATAAATCTTTATCATGCATGTTGCTTTTCCTGCACTCTCTTTATTTCCCATGTCTCCTGCCCCTGTCGTCTAGCTGCCTCCCTCTTTCACCCTCGTCCGTCTCCTGTGGATAGCTGCTGTAATGAAGCCATAAATTGGAGCAGCACAGCGGCGGCTACAGGTCGGGCTGGGGAAGGTGGACGAGGAGGAGCGGGGGGCAAGGGGGGCTGACAGAAAGAGAGACGGCAGAAAAGGGAAGAGAGCCAAAAGGAGGGATTCATTTAGACAAGAGAAGAGATATGAGTCTTGTTGGAGAGGAGACAGTCTACCAGGGGGAGGAGCGGGAATGAATGAGGAGGAGGAGGGGGTTGGGGGGGGCAGGATCGGAGGGAGGGTTGGAGGTTATCCATAAATTGGTTGAGGAATCACTTCTTAAAAGGTACAGCCTTGGAACATGCCATCCCTGTTGGATGTTGGGAGGGGTCACAGTGGCAGGAGATGGCGAGGTGTACAGAGCAGGTGGGCATGGTTTGAGGCAAGAGGGTCATCGGGGTTTGTTGTGATAGACAGACAGACAGACAGAGAGAGAGAGAGAGAGAGAGAGAGAGAGAGCGAGAGAGAGAGAGAGAGAGAGAGAGAGAGAGCGAGAGAGAGCGAGAGAGAGAGAGAGAGAGAGAGAGAGAGAGCGAGAGAGAGCGAGAGAGAGAGAGAGAGAGAGAGAGAGAGAGCGAGAGAGAGCGAGAGAGAGAGAGAGAGAGAGAGAGAGAGAGACAAAGTGCAAATGTACTGTGAAAAAAAGAAGCTACCTTCGAGACAGCAAGGGCCCCTCGACTGAAGCGGCAGATAAAGACGCCGCCGGCGCGTTAATACTCCTCACTTTGCGGCGCCTGTTTAATTACTGTGGCGGCTTTGGCCTAATAATAATATTCATTAGGAGATAAGATCCTGCAACGTCTCTGCTGCAAATGGAAAAAAGGAGTTGGGGGATTAATTTCTTTTAAGGCGCCAAATTATCTCGAGCACGGCTCCTGATAGGAGCTGATACATTTGATTCGAAAACTTTTTACCATTTCGATGATTATGCACTCATATGCCACAAGATTAGGGACATAATTCGTCCGTCCCTCCCTTTTTCTACAATGCGTGTTCTCATTTGGGTGGCGGGTGATGTGGAGCCTATCACAGCTGATTTTGGAGACCTTGGAGGGTTTTCACCCTGGACTGGTCGCCGGCCAATCACAGGACACATACAGACAAACGGCCATTCACATTCAGAACTGTAATCTTCATTTGACCTCACACGCGTGTTTTTGGAATGTGGGAAGAAGATGCAGTACATAAAAAAATCAAAAAAACAAAAAACCATGGGGAGAACGTGAAACAGATTTGAGCCAGAACCTTACAACTGTGAGGCAGACACAATCAGTGCGGGTTGTAGTTGTAAATCCTAAAGTGTGGTCTTTTCCACCTTGATGTCTAAGCTGGAATAATTGCAGCACAGACGATATTCAAACGCTGAATGTGCTGCTCTTGCACAATGTAATGAGATTCATTTACAATAAAAACACACACACACACACACCTCAGCAAATTACCACCCCAATAATTCTGTAAACATGGTAACTCGCTATTGATCCAGAAGGAAATTGTGCTGCAACTATTATCATCTATTAAAATTAGTGAAGCGTATTGCAATACGTCATAACTTGCCATTATACTTGAACTGTATGGGTGGACTATATGGACTTATGAGTATAGCACCCCCCCTCACAGTTCTGAGTTTGGGGGTTTGAATCCAGGCTGAAGCCTTACTGTGAGCGCTTGCATAGGTTTTTCTCCTGCGTCCACCCAACATCTTCCACGTTTGGATCTTGAAGAAATTATCAGTCAGTGTGAATGTGAGTCTGAATGGTTGTTTGTCCATACGTGCCCCGCGATAGGCCGGCGAACCAATCCTGGGGGTACCCCGCTCGCACTCATCCGCGACTAATGAAGACAAGCGCTATAGGAAATAGATGACTTTATGATATTGTCAGATTTAAGACTTGCTTCCTGACTGGCTGGAAACAACCACATGGTTCCACTGCCATATAGTGAGTCACATGACATCCATTTCAACTGGGGTTACCTCTAAGGATATCAAACTGTCAATCAAACCTGAGCATTATTCTTCCTGAAATCGCACCTCTCTCGGATTGCGCACATGTACCTAATATAGTGGCCAGTGAGTGTCATGTTTTCCTTATTTCTCCTGCGGCAGCCTGGTTGATGTTTCTTTTTCAGGCACATTGAAAAGTTTCACTTCTCGCCTCAACAAGAGTTTTCGGAGAGCGGGCTGAAGTTTTTTTTCACAGTACAGCTGTTTGCTGAGGGGCAACAGGAAAGGAGAGAAGACAGGATGGGCAGGGCGGGAAATGAACGCAGTTGACTGCGGTGCTCAATTTGCCATGCTGAGACGCGTTAAGCCGCGCTGAGGCAAAACGGCGCGTAATACCATCAAAGCAATCAAAGCTGCAAAAAGTCAAATACGTAGAAATAGTGGGAAAACTAACAGCAACAAAAGATGTGACTTGAAGCCATGCAAACATAGCCGGCATTGCTCACAGAGAAGCAACACAAACAAAGATCACTGCAGCTGAGTCTTACGGAGAAAGAAAAATATTCAAGAGCTGGAATAAAACAGAGCAAAAAGTGCCATATCAAATGAGAATCAAAAATGAATCATACAAAACATACGACAGCAGGAAGCTTGTTTGGAGAAGTGAGGATTGGGTGTCGTTACCTGAGAATGCTTGACTGGAGCATCCTTTTATATCTATTATACCAAACTCAAAAGCTACGAGCATTATTCCCAACTGTTTAACTCATTCACTGCCATTGACGGCTATAGAAGTCAAAGATCCATTTTGACTGGGCTGGCAGTGAATGAGTTAATATGAGGGTGACTCTTGAAGGCACAGCTCCGCTGATACATCTGCTCAGGTAACGACAATGTGATGCTGGCTGAACGCATGCTGTCTGAGGTGCACTCGCTGCTTCCAGCTGACACCTTGCAACCTGTCTGCTGATGTAGGATGATATTCATATTGTTTTTTTTTTTGTTTTTTTTTTGTGAGTGAATAACCTGATGATGCTTGGAGGGACAAATATTATTCATCTTATTGTGTTCCTTCGACATGTGGTGTATATTTTATGAAGGATCATATTCCATTTGAATGGCGGCCTGAGGAGGCGCAATCGTCATTCACTTTTATATGAATGCGATAAACATCCATCTGTACCCTTTAGATTCAGATTCAGGAATATTATCCATCCATTTCTTGAAACGATGTTATTTAAATCACTGCCATTGTTTTTATATAGTTATTGTTATTTTTGTTATTTTCGCTTTTCTCCACTCACGACCGGGGTTAGAATAATTTTGGATTTTTCGTAATAGTTAGTTTCTATTTCATTTTGACATTTTTTTTCCCACTAAACTGTCAGTTTTAATTTATTAATTTGTTTATACAGTAGGTTTGTTAGTTTTTACTCCTTTTTAATATTTCAAAAATTCTTTGTTTTAATTCACTTTTTATTAGTTTTAGTATTAGCTTTATTTTTACTTGACTTGATTTTTTTTTTTTTTACAAGCGCACGATTAAAAAAAAAAAGGTGGCTAAGTATTGTGTAATGAAGTAAAGTAAACCACAAATCCCCAAAACAGTTTGACTGTCCTACATGGCTGAATAGTACTACCAAAATAAATACGCTCAAAATAAACCTAGAAATCCTGTAAGAAATTATTTGACAAAGATTAAATCAAAAGACATTTTCATTATCATGATAGAAAGTCGTTACAGTTAGTTTTATAAGCGCAAAATGTACGGTAGTTTCAGTTAGTTACATTATTTTTCACCCTTTCATGCACCCTGTAACCTGATAACATGATAAGCTGTCCACTGTAGTAACCGCTGTCCCCGAAAGGGTTATATCTATCTCAATTTTATTTTGTTAACGAAAATATTTTTTCAATGTTTGCTATTTCATTGATTTTGTTAATTATAATCACCCCAGGAAAGAAAAACACAAATCAGCCTCACTGCGGCGTTTCCTTTTCCTCATCCGCTCACTCACTCTCTGCCAACCATCTAGCGAGTCGTCCTTGAGGTCAGGCACTATCAGCCGTTGTTCAGGCGGATGGAAAGGGCGTTCAATGTCATGTCACGGTAAGACATACACGCTGCTCCAGCCATCTTGGGCAGGAAATAAATAGATCGGCCGCGTAATGGCCTGAATATTGCGTCTCTTGTGGGACACTAAAGAGTCTGGGGATGATAAATCTGATCCCACGGGGCAAATGCGTCACTGTCTGTGTGTGCGCATTCTAATGAGCGCTGAATGTGTTTGTCTTGTGGGTTTTTTTGGTTTTTTTTTTTAAAGGGAGAAGCAATTTGTCTGCTAGAGAGAAAGCGATCTGTACACCTCGTCAGCTGGAAGCAGCCACACAGCCGTAAATCTCAATTACACGAGACCCCGCTCCCTCCCTCCCCCTGCCACAGGTGACAGCGGACCAAGAGCATCTGTTGCGTTCCAAGGCTTACCATCGGCTTCGGGCTGAGTCTGAGAGGGTACGGCCATGTAGGGCTCCTCCCCTGTTTCTGAACTCATGGGGCGCTCCTTGCGCTCCACCATGCGGCCCCGCCCCAGGGGGCCCTCGGCGGCCTCGGGTAGGGCCGGCGTGGGGAGTGCGAGGGTGTGGTGGTGATGGTGGTGATGGCGGCCTGCCAGACACAACAGAGGTTAACGAGGGCGCTCGCTTTGTCGACGGGAGGCCTCGGGACACGTACACTACTCACAACAAGGTAGGGACAGTCGGCTTTCAGGTGAACGGAAAGGGCACGAGAGTAAAGGTCACCAACGGGGGCGCCCGTGGAACACCGCAATGGTATCCTATGGACCTGTTCTAAAAATAGCTCACCGGTGATGGGACAATTGCGATTTGCCAGGAATATTGAATGGAAATGTACAGAAATAAAATGTTGCATTTTGATATTTATCGGGTTTAGAACTATTATGAGAAATGTCCGTGCCTTCACATAACATGAATGAAAATCATTCATTGGTGATAATAAAATAAAAATGGGTACTGGGCCCAGACTGATCTCAATATTTTGAGCCCAATGCAGATTCTGATAACCGATTAATCGGCCAGCTAAAAAATATACAATGAACAAAATAACTTCTTGTTTTGCTCCCTTGATGCTTACAAAAATAAAGATATGATTGACAGGCAGAAAATTTGACTGTTTTACAATATTTTACAAGAGAGAGGAAAATGACAAAAATTGGCTGTTTTTTCACCCTTTTGGGTGTGACCGTCACTATCTTTGTGTTATGTTGTACAGTGTTAATCTTAGCGTCAATGTGTAACAAAAAAAAAAAAAACTATCTGAGTTCCGATTTTGACTATAAAAGTGACTTAAAATTGCCGACAGATGAGTGACCGCAGTTTTCCAGCTGACTAGCTGTCTTGTGTTTTCCTACATTGCTGTGATCCATTTACACGCGGGGGAAATCTAAAAATCAGTTTGAAACCCTGTGGCCCTCTCTTGTCTGACCTCTACGCAAAGACACTCGACTGTGCAAGTGACTTTGTCTTCAAGTACGGTTTCCGGGTAGTCTCGACTGGACCGAGTCATTATTTCTCACAACGGTCTCTTAACGTCAAAACCAGGAACAGCATGATGAAGAGGACTGACTCAAAAATCAATGGAATATATTGGTCCATTTGTGGATAAAATGAATTTGCCATTCAGTTCCTTGTTAAGAGAACAGCAGGCTGTATCCAAAGTACTGAAGGATTGAAAAGTTGGCCACGTGCATTCAAAGGGTGAGAGAAGGTCAAGTTGAAAGGTTGGAGTTCATTTTAGGATCACCCGAAAAATTCCACCCGAAAGCCGAATATCCTGAACGTTTTGTCAAGGCTACACACACACACACGCACACACACACACACACACACACACACACACACACACACACACACACAATCATTCCCCTCCTAAAAGCACACAAGGACAGCTGCTTGCCTACAAGAGGCAACAAAGTGATTCCCCCCGTGAGCAACTCATTAGTAAATGTGTCTCTCCACATTGTCATGTCCTTCTCTTCTCATCCTTTTTCCTCCTCCTTCTTTTCCTCCCTCTCAGACTGACATGTCAAAGCTCCAGTGGGCCTGTCAGACTATAATCACATTTCTCCAGCATCACCGGAGGGTTCACACCTTTTCGTAGGAAGGATGACGACATGCTGACTTTTCCTTCTTCGCGGCGCTCCCGTCGGGCAACTTTTTTTACGAAACGTCGACAAGAGGCTTCTAACGCTGTCAATGCACACGAGCACCCCCCCGCCCCCAATATAAGTTTATATCGCTTACATCTAACTTTTGAGTTCACGTGGAGATGGTGGGAATTGTTCTGTTTAATTCCCTTCCGTCACACTGCTTCGTTCAAATCCTTTTGTTGATTTTAAGCACGCCTGCGTTTTGCTGTATTCAGCAGTGAATAGCGCCTGAATATTCATGTTAAATTCTTCTTTGTTGTGCTGAGCCAAATTTGGAATGCTGGGCCTTGACTATGATGTGCACTTCCACTTAGAGTCATTCTAGTTTGTTTGTTTGTTTGTTGGCAGAATAATGCAAAAACTACTAATTACTCATTCTAATCACAAAAAAAAAAATTAAAACATCATGCATTGACATAATGAAAGTGAGTGTACAATTTGATGCTGATCTAAATAATACCAATGAAAATCAAATATGCGTGATTTAATTTGATTGTTTTTGTTGATTGATTTGTTCTATTTTAGATTTTGGTAGTGAAGAACGATAAAATTACAGTAAGGTTGGACCAACTTTTAGTCGTGTTGGATATTTGATTTCACAACATTTTAACATCAGGTGTGAAAAAGTCGGACAAAAACAGTGAGTAAAAGGCTTCTTTTTTTTTGGAGGTCTGCATCCCAGAAAATATCACTCCAGATTATTTGGGAGCGAGGAAGAAGCCTTATAATGCAAAACGGAGAAAGGTGTTTCATTTTTGTTCACATTTCAAGATTTTATTTTATAGACGGGAAGCAGGTAACTGAAGGTTTATTCTGTTCATCAGTACGAATATGTATCACGAATGTGAGCTTTCTGCTTCTAATCACATTAGCATGGGACGTGCCCTCTTAAACCGTCCTCCTCAATTTGGCACCGGCCTTACATTTCCCTTCATGGAATGAAGCCTCTGTGGGGCTCAGCTCGCTGATTTTTACCATGGAGGTGACCGTGGCGTGTGCGGTCACCAACGGATGTGCTTCACTTTGTGTTTACGCTTGTGTTTAAAGAAGGGGCTGAGGGGGTCGGGTGGGATGATGGTGAAGCTGCTGGTAAACTAGCGCAAACCCTCTCGACACCATCTAGAGCCTCCTCCTCATCTTCCTTCGTGTGGCATGGCAATCATTAAAATGATTTATTTAACTATTGGCCCAAGGCTGAGAGATTAGTGTGACAGGCCTATTTTATAATTCATTCCCTCACCGCCAGGGGAAGTGCAATTCAGGCAGATGACACACATACAGAGAGAGAAGAGGGGGTGGGGGTAGGTGGGGGGGGGCACGCCGAAGGATGCGCACCCACTCTCTTTTTCACTCGCTACAGATTAAAAGCGAGGCGACCATGTCTAGTCTGGAGTAAAGACGGGGAGAGTGGAGAGGAGGCATTTATTTATCTTCAATGCCATATTAAGCTCCCCGCACAGTCAACTGAGAGACGGGGGATGTGTGTTTGCGTGTCGTCAAGTGTGTGTTTATGTGCGGAGGCATGTGTTTATGGGCAGCGGGTTTATTTTCCATGACCCTGGACCTCCAACAACAGGGAAGAAGATCACAGTGTGGACCGAAGGCTGCAAGGACTTGGTCATATGTATTCTTGGCGTTCGCATTTTTTGGACCATTCACACAATCGCGTGCAATCGGCTGAATCAAATCATTCCACTTGTTAGAAAGTTATTAACAATACAGCAAAACTGCTATAGTTGGACCGACCCCCCCAAAAATAGGGATTTTAACCCTTTCTTGCACCAATAATGATAACCTGTAACCGGATAACATGATAAGCTGTCCACTGTCGTAACCGCTGTCCCTGAAAGGGTTAAATCATCTGAAGCAAGTATTACATCACATAAGACAAAAAAAAACAAACACTTTTGTTCTTTTTTTTTTTTGCCACAAAATTTGCTGTCAGTGACGGTTTATCGTTTCAACCTGATATGTGAATAAAAAAGTTTTCTTTTTACAATGTTGCGTAGAATGAAGTTTTACAGCATTCACGTACTACTGTTAACTGTGGTTGGCTTATTGCTCCAAAGTTTAGAATGTTAAAATGTGACTTCATTTTGAAAAAGGTTTCTAATGGCGATGCTGGAACTAATTTGTAAACCATCACGGTCTTTAACCACCAACAACCAGATCCATCCAATTATTGCAGCAAAGGTCAGGGCTAATCGATTCAATTGTAGCTGGGATAGAAGGGGGGGGGGGTTGTTGACATAGAGGACAACAGGGTCTAATAGAGCTAATATCATAATTAAAGATGTTCCTATTTGTAATTCCTTTAACAGGCCACAGAGGAGGGTTGCAGGAGGAGGGCTGCAACGGCTTGTGGGGAGGGCAGAGGGGGGTGGGGGGATTGAAGTGGACCGGCAATGATTGAGTGTTTCATTACCTTTATAACTGGAAGGAACGTCTATCAAAAAGAAGGAATGACATAAATTCAGTTCCACACGCAGTCGTTAATAACCTGTCTTTACAGGTGGGAGGAGTTTTCATTTCCTTGAGAGGGAACAATTCATTGAGGAGATGAAGGGGTGTGGCTGGACGTAAAACAGTGCACGAGATAAAATGTTGCCTTGGTTCATTTAGTTGCCTTTTTTTTTTTTTTTTTTTTTTTTAAATGATAAATGCGGGATACTTACCATTCAGTGCCACGAAGGTATCTGAAAGTACAAGCAAAGATAAAAGAAAAAGTGTGTCATTGCGAGTCATAAAGACGCTTTCACATTCAGTTCACAACTAATGATTTTTAAACGTACACTACTGATGGAATTGAAGGGGGGAAAAATCTGTACTTTCACTTCACTTGGATTGGAACCGTATTATTCTTAATTGTATGAAATGGACCAGGCTATGTGCGAAGATTGTTATATTGTCTGTCTACATGTGGTGCTACATTGTTTGTATTCAAATATCGTTTGCTTTGAAGCGTAATAACGCTGCGACATCGAGGCTAGTCATTAGCGCATGTATTGCGCGTTGCACAGTTTGGGAGCATTAAGCTAACTGGGCTTTTAGAAGGTCAAGCCATGAGGTTGTTTGAAATACAAAGCGTGTAATTCTGTTTGACGTCTACTTGAGACTTCAGCTGGAAATAGCACTAAACCCCTTGAACCTTCTTTCTTGAAGTATTGTTGGCGATCGCCCAAACTGTTGCTTGTTGTGAAGTGAGTTGAGGTGAAAAAAAAAAAAATTGAATCGCAAGACACCACTGTATTATAATTTTCATCCTGGATTAGCTGCGGGGAATCAGTGAATACACGCTTAGGTTACCCAATATGGGTCCTCGCCTTGACTGGTCAAAAAAACAAGCCCTAAGCTTAACCACTTCAAAATTACAGCAAAACACACTTTTTTTTTTTTTTTTGGGGGCCATCATGCCCGCCATGTTTGTGGAGTGTTTTGTGGTGAGACATTATTTTAGGAGTGTGTGTGGTGTGGCTAACAAGCTTGCGCAAGTCCAGTGGGGTTCATGTTATTGGAAAAATACTCAGCTATGAATCTAATGTAGCGCTTAACTTTGTGGATGAATTCCTTCTGAAGTCAAACCAGAGCACATTGTAACAGAAAGTGGATCACGGCTGTCAATTCCAGCTAATCTGGAAAGCAATGTGTGGAACATGCAATGTATGATTCTTCCCCTTCTCGTAAAACAGTATTTGAGGCCGGCTGATTGGGTTGAGAGTCCTGCGCCCTGTTTTTGTGTGCATTCACAAGCAAAATCCTTTCTCCTACCGTGGCACTGAATGTTTGTGTGACAGTGTGCAAGAAGGAAGACAGTCTTGGCGCCACGGGGCACAGAACTCGACTGACCGAGGGGAGTAAAGACGCAGTCGGAGGGAGTGGAGTGAAGTGTGGGACGATAGAGAGAAGGGGGGCAGATGGATGGAAGATGCTGAAAGAGAGGATTGTGAGGGCGGAACAGATGGGGGGGAGGGAGGGAAAAAGGTGACGGCGGCGAAGACGGAAACAAGAGGATAGAGGCTGAGTTAGCATACAGTGTGTGTGTGTGTGTGTATCATGGGATGGCTACGGTAGTGAAAAAAAGGATAGATACGAGAGTGGAAAAAAAAAAGGGCCCGCTTACTTTGGCAGTCTCCCAGGCCATCTGTGTTACCATGCTCCACGTCCTGCTCAAAGGCGGATCTGCAGGGAACAGAGACATCATGGTCAGCAGCGGGAAGCGGGCCAAGAGGCCGGTGCGATCCGAGTCACGTCGTTTCGGGAAAACAACAACAAAAGCATCCCTCCAACGCGGCATATTTCTAAGAATCCTTCGGCGAAGCCTGCAGGAGGCCTTGAACTGGAACGCCATCAAAGGACACCTAGCGGGCACCCTGAAGGTGTCAAGACAAGGGGTTATGACGAAGGAAGCATGCAGGCTAAAAAAAAAATATATATATATGGAATTGGCACAGAACCCAACGCCAATTCTGGGGGTGTCAACAAAATTTTTTTAGAGGCGACTTAAGCCGGACACCCAAGCACATCAATGGGCAACAAGCTGACAAAATCAGGAAAAAAATGGTGAAAAACGCTCTCGCGCCACAATTCAAATATTTTTTTTTCACCTGTTTTCAGCAACCTGATTCGAAGGTGATGGATTTAGAAACAAAGCTCTGAAGTCACTTTACAAGGTCTTGAACAACTGTAAATTGTGTATTGTGTAAACAACTGAAGTGAACTATCTTCAAAATAAAACATTCAAAAGAACCAACCGGGAATTAAAATAAATAAAAACCTAATCAAATCCTAAACTTCACTTTCACTTCGAATACGGAAGTACATTTGAGCTCAGATACTTTTAGTCTTTTACTCAAGTAATAGTCTACAAGGTGACGTTAACTTCTTCCAAAGTTATATTCTGTTAAGATACGCCAACTTTTACCCAAGTACAGCTTTCAGCTACTGGTACTTTACTTTCTCTTCTACATTAACAATGTGTCCAGATGTGAGTTGCAATCACATGGGCCAAAGGCAGTGCGCTGAGGTGTAGCCAAGCCCTCACATGACACAGAAAAAGTTAAAGGTTGGGGAGGCCAGGTTTTTGGAGATGCTATTTTCTGCTACAATCTGCACAGAGACCTGTTTTCAGCCTGAAAGACCACCAAGCAGGCAGGAGATCTGTGAAACAGAGCGGACCAACTGTCAAGCAATATCACAGTCACGCGTGACAGCGTCTCACAATCCTCCTCCCGCCTCTCATCTTCCACACCCGCCCCTGCTTACAATTACTGCATGAAGAGCCGCTTGCTGCACCCCCGCCTCCTGACCCTTACCGCTAACCCCCCAACCAAACCCGGTCCCATCTGAAAAAATGTGAAAAGCGAACAAGGAGAAATACGAAGAGTTTCACTAGTGGATAACAAACAGATTTTCACCATAACTGTCAACTGGTGGAAATTGTGATTCACTCTTTCAAACCACAACAGTAATTTATTCACCAGCAGCATTTCTCAACTTGAGAGCCTTGCCAGGACTTTTAAGCACCAGATTTCCACACAGTTGCTGTAAACCCGAACCCATCTAAGCGTATGTGCCCCCCGCCCCAAAAAAACCCTCTTTTTTCAAATTTACTGTTTTTGAATTCAAGAAAATTAACACAATTGGGAGATACTTGTAGATGCATACATGCTTAATAATAATATGCATCAAGTTTGTCGAGACGAGAGCTTTACAAAATGGTCACAGACACTGAAGTGATGTCTGACCCAAAGGCCCAAAAAATAAAAAATAAAATACTGTCTATCACATATTCCATCGTACCCACAAGGGTTTTACTTGGACAGAATGACTCCGGTGACATTTTATGAAAGAAAGAAAAACTGCTGCGCAGCGTCCTGTTGCTATGTAGAATTTGTGGGGCCATAACAGTCACTTTGCTGTTTCCTCTGCGACTTGAGGCAGAGGAGCTTGCTTCCCCATCCAGCCATGAAAGGAGGTGGTGGTGGAAATACGGTCAACTCAGACTTAGACTAAATAACTCCCAAAACAGGCATATAAGGATTATTCATTCACTTACTGACATTAATTTTAAACTGGAATCACTACTCATTCATAAACAAGATTTTGGGGGCTTTTGTTTTGGTTTGTTTTTCACACCAAACGATCTTCTACTACACCCTTAAACTTAATTGTCCCTTAACTTCACTGGATTTCCACTACAAATAAAAATTAGAGACAGCGTGGTTAACATTCGACGTTTCCCTATGAATAAAAATTGAGCCTCACTACACTACAAGCCTCAGTGTCTATCAGTGACGCATCGCTCATGAACCATTCATTTGAAGAAGTTTGACCTCACACAGTTCAGCTAAGGGTTAAGATCATATTTCAGATGCTCAGACGCTCATCGCAGAGATCAGACGCATATTTAAAACAAGCTTGCATTGTACAAGAGAGGACGCGGCCAATTGGGTTCTTGACTCAGATGCAGTTATCATATAAAATACGTCACACGGAGTCGCGCAGGGACGAATTTGGTGGTGAAGGCCAGGCATTCAGGCATAGTTATCGGGCATAGTAACGTTAATTAGTCATACCTGAAGTCGGTTGGTGTGTAGAGACTTTAGTGAGTGCAAAATGAGTATGCAATTTGATGTAGCTCATTCATTTTCAGTCATGGCTAAACCCATTCAGTCACAACTTTCACTTGGCAGTCAATTTACAGTCAAAACTCAATGAGCAGATTTGTAGAGGGCTGGCAGATCTGAGATTGCAAGAATGGACACAGGAGGGCGGGGGTGGCTCGTGGCCATCTTTCAGTGGCGTAGGGGGGGGCCGAGCTGCCGCTATGAGAGACATCATTCTACATGGCAACGTGGTCACGCGAACACAAAGGCCAGATGAAGGTAGAAAGGTGAGCGTGCACGCAAGAGAGGCAGAAGATGTGAGGATACTGCAAACAGGCGATGCGTGCATGCAAGTAGTCTACTCTGAAAAGGAGTTAGAAGGATTTGGTACAAAATACAATGCATAATGATTAGTAAGAAACCGCAGTGTTTTGATGATTACTGTTTTTTTTTTTTTTTAAATAAATCTATCAAAATAAGTGCATGATCGTACAAGCTGCAATACATCCCAGCAGGCATCCTCTAATTCTTTAAGGAATCCAGCAATTCCTTAAAGGGGAAGTCAGTCCCCAAATTTTCTTGACAGAAGTAGATTCTATGGGCGTCGACTCGGCAAAACACAGCATTCTGATTCATATTGCGTTTTCGGAATATGAGTTAAGCAGCAAAATCCACCCGTTTTTATCCATCTTAGGGGGCGGCCATGTTGCCGCTTTCTTTCGACTGATAATGACATCAGAGTTGCTCAGGGCTCAAGTAACGACCAATCACGACTCGCCGGTTTTCTGAAGCTACTTAACTCAAATTTCACAAATATTAAGCAGAATGCCGTTTTGAGACTAGTGAGGTTATCGGCTCAGTGGTCGTCTGTCTCGACCCAGAGTTTGGAGGGTCCATTGTGACCTTGTCAAAGTGTCCTTGAGCAAGATACGTAGCCCCAAATTTCTCCTGATGCTGCATCATCAGTAGGGAAGTGAAGAAATAGTGGAAAGCGCTTTGAGTACCAAAGGGAGAAATAAAAGTAACAGCCATTATTGTAAAGATGCAAACTGCGATAATAGTGCCACTTAAATGAAGCTTTTGAATAACTAAAAGTGCTCCTAATAAAACCATTACCCGTGTTCGGGAAAATTTTTGCCGAGTGAAACAAGAGAGTCAAAAACCTATCAATGCGTGTGCTCTTTAACCAGTGAAAGCCAGGGGCGTCATGTTAGGAGAAACCTTTGAAGCATCAAAGACAGAATATGATGACGCCTGCATACAGCAAAGAGTGCTCGTTGTTGTTGTTGGCGGGCTCTGTTGTATGCAATCAAACAAAACAACGCGTTCACACCAGAGACTGAAGTCTTGCACCCGACGGACATTTTTCAGCAGGGAGCCAAGAAGAAAAGCCGCGACATTGCAACTGTGTTTCTCATGTTAATTTTTTTTTTTCACCCACAACTGTCCCCATAATGTTTTGAAGACACCAAAAATTGCTCGAGGCAGAGCTACAGCTTTCTGGTGTGAAGCAAATGGCCCGCCGTCCAGGAATTCCTTTTTAATGGGGTAGGAAGTATTGCAGCAGGTTTACTTTGACATTTCATCACCTGCCTTGTTTACATTTTTTTTCCCAGCCTTGCAAATAACAGCAACACTGTCTATTCACAGCTGACTGGAAACAATAGATATGTTGCAGAGGCTATCACTGGCCCAGTGTCGGCTCCTTCCATCAGAGCTCTCCGCCGGCTCGGCAAAATAATAACAGGATGGGTGTAACTTTTTGCGTGCTCATGAACGCCTTTGGTAGCCTTGGCACACAAGGCTAATCATTTTGCAGCGCAGGGATCACATTCATTCAATGTCAAATGGCCAATGGCGCGCCTATCCTTTTGTTATGACTTCATGTGTAAGAAGTTTTTTCCCCACCACAAAGCTTCAATATGCTGTTTGCTCGGAGAGTATAATCAGGCTCTGTGTCCCAGCTACCACCGCGAAATTACAGTGAGCGTGACCATCAAGTGTTGCTCGGGCTAAGCAGCCAAACCCTGGCCAGGCGGCGTCCAGTTCTTTCCTTCCATTCGGTCCTCCAATAGGCCTTTGCAGCGGAGGGAAATTGCCCTTACACACCATAAAATTAGAAAGCTCACAGACACGTCAAATCCAGAGATGAAGGCTACCAGGCAGTACAAAGAAGGCGGAACGTTGGATTGGAAAACTTGTAAAACACTCGTATGGCCTTTCCATACAGCAAGGATTATATTCAAATTCACTGGACCAAAATACTTGTGAAACCAAAATTCCAAGTAAAGGAAGTTGACGGCCCAAGTATTCGTTCCAACTATAACTTTCTAGCTCGTATTAATTTTAAATGATTTCCATCCATCTATTACATGCACCACTTGTGAGGAGCTGGAGCAAATCCCAGCTGGCACCGGGCGCGAGATGGAGTTAACCTCCGACAGATCAATTTTCCAAAATCTTCAACTCTCTTTGCAAGTTTACTGAATAATTTATGAATAGAAAACATTTCGATAAAACCATCGAGTTTAATAAGGTCAGATTTGTTTCAAGAATTTGAGAATTTACTGATGAGAGCTGAAGTGGACTGCTGATTTCATTTTGCAAAAGCTTGTTTTCCAAACCGGGCCGAGAGCTGCATCAAATTCAATTCACCTAAAAATGCAACGTTGATCAAGCAACCTTAACACGCCATTTATACCTCAATTTTTGACAGCGCCGGCCCTCATTAGGGTCACGGGTAAGCAGTAGACCAGCGGTGCCTGAGTCCGGTCCTCGAGAGCCCCTATCCAGCCTGTTTTAGGTGTCTCACTCCTCCAACACGCCTGATTCAAATGATCAGCATCGTTATCAAACTTCTGCAAAGCTTACGGATGAGCTGATCATTTAATCAGGTGGGTTGGGGGAAGGAGACATCCAAAATAGGCTCAATAGGGGCTCTTGCAAATAGGACTTGGGCCCCCATGCTGTCGACTAACCCAGCTGAGACCTAGACTGGTTGCCAGTCACTAGTAGGGCACATAAAAAAAAAGCCAGTTCACACTCACAATTAATCTAAATTAGCGTTTTTGGAACATGAGAGGAAGGCGGACTACTTGGAGAAAACCCGGAAAAGCACAGAGAGAACATGCGATGGCAAGAGGATCAACCAAAGCTCAACATGAACCCTTGGTCCTTCTCATTTATAGGTTATTAAATAGTGTGACTTACTTGGTATCAATCACTTGGCTGCATGCTCCTTCTGACACCCAACCGCAGTAAGGGTCCCTGGAGGCGATACAGGACCTGGGTGACATACAAAAGACATTCATCTCTGCAGCACAAGAAACAGTAGGACAGTTGGGGGGGGGGGGTTGAAATGGAGGTGACTCTTTGGGCTATCATGGCTATTAAACGCACTTCTTGCAGCTTCCGTGCCTTTCGCAGCGAGACAGAGGCACTTTAACCACACAGGAAGTGAACGCCACCCACAGGGCGTGACCCTTAGCATCGATCTGTATGCTGACGATGCGCTTGTCCTCCATGCCGTCTATACTGCACCTATAGGATGACAAAAGAGCAGATGTAAGGTTGGGGAAACTGATTGGATTTGTAGTTACGTCCCTGTAAACGTCAGCATAGATGCATCTCATAAGAGTCTTGTTTTTTTTATATATATATATATATATATATATATATAGGCTTGTCGACACATACAGTAACTTTGTTTGAGCAATGAAACTATTTTCCCCACCATGAGATTGTAGAACCTCTTTCTTCTATTGAAGGACAGCCGGTGGAGAAAAATAATGGAAGTCTTTGGAAGAGGTTGTTATGGTCTGATTATTTTCTGCTACAGATGCACAAAATAAAATGTTTAGTTAGCTTTTTACATATGGGAGACAAGCAGCCACGCACTACCCATTGCTTGGTAAAATGAATCACTTGCGATCTGTCGTCAATCGACACAAAATATAAAAGATCTTTCTTCTCTTTGACGTTAACCCATTCACGACCGGCAACTAGGCGCTCTAAAGTGGCTATGCCAAAAGACAGTCCAAAGGCATTTTATGGTGTAGACAGAGCTAGCTAGCTAGCTAGCTAGCTAACTGAACATTGTGCCAGAAAACCACTGATGTGAAGAACAAAGACGCTCAAGTTCTTGTGGAGCGGGCAAAGGGCAACTCACTCCTGGGCCCGAGTGCCTAGCTGGACCCCCGTTTTTTAAAAAATCTCTACAATGGAACACCTCTACTATGTAGTTTTTTGTCTTTACAGTAGTTAGTCAGTAATTATCTTCAAACGTGTAATCAATTTAGAAAAAAAAAACAAAGCTGAGAATTCACTTCACAGGGTCTTTAAATACTATAAACAAGTTTGTTGTTTAGTGACAAAACAAGATTGGACTGCTCATTTATGAGATAAAAATGTGGATGTGATTAAGAGGAGGCAGAGGTTGATGAGATAATACTCGAGTGTCGATCATGAGTTCGGGGGGCAGAGTGGGAGAAAGAACAGAGTGATACAGATACAACAGATGGCCACGGTGAGCAGTCAGCAGTTAACACTGCACTTTAGTGTAAAACCCTCTAACACAATCCACTTCCCCCACCATCCACTTCCTCTGTCCCTGGCCAGTCTTTGTCCACCCGGCCCCCATAGGAGCGCACTGTAATCCCTTTGGGTGTGCCCGGTATCTTTCTTTCTATCCCTTCTCTCCATCCTTTGCTCTCGCCATCCCGGCATTAATCCTCCCCTCTTTGCCGTGCTTCGGTGCCGCATTAACATTCTCAATTAGAGCTTAGAGTCCATCTACACTGGGTAATGCTCGGCAATCGGGCGCGTGCTGATCCAGCTCACGCCAGCCAGAGGGTAGAATGCGGGCAAAGTCACTTACTGTACTCGAGTGATGCCAGATGGCCGACGGCCGACCGCTGCTCAGCTAGCTGGGGAGCGGCGTGGCGAGAGAAAGAGGAAGGAGACGCAGAAAGGAGAGAGGGAAGGAGGCAGGGCTTTGCCCTTCATCCCCTCCATAAGGCACGTCACATGGCCGCAGTATGTTGGGAAACAAACAGCGGCGACCTTGAAAGCTGCCCCTGTCAAGTCCATACACCCCCCACCCCACCCCCCTACCGTCTCAGCTGTCTAATACCATGTCTGCACGAACATGGCTATTTTGAAAACCATATATTTTTCCATGCGATGTGGCCTTTTGTCCACAAGCAGACTCAGCTTGAGATCACTGAAGTGTCTCTCGAAAGCGAAAGAGAGGGAGCGTGAGAATGTGATCTGCCTTTCACCATATGTCGCTGACATAGATAGATGAAAAAAATAATATTTGGACCAGTGTAGCGAAATTTGATACCATTTTTAATCTTTTACTTTTACCTGGGCGCACTTGGACTGCGAAGGAAGAAAACAAACAAAAAAAAAATTTACAATGAGTAATTTTCTGCCTTGACAGTCTGCATTGGGACCAAGTCGGCCAGTTACCCAGCAGAACGGGTTTTTTAAATTGGCAGCTAATTTGTAAGGCTGACCTACATCTTTGCTGGCAAGTCATAAATTTCAGTCATAGGACACAGATCGATATTGTTTCGGATGGCTTAGCCTCGGTTGAGATACCCGCTCGACCGTGACCACTTAGTTGCTGTAGTACCTTTTCCAGCAATTGCTTCATTCAGGATGTTAATTGGTGAGAATCATATTCACTTGACAGCTTAAAAAAATACGTTGACTGTTAAAAATGATTTTTCTTAAGTAGGGAAAAAAAAGTTTTCAAATGGCAGTGCATAACAACGGCTATTCTTTCCATGACCTCTCTTGATTTTCAACTCTGTTATTTCTCCCCCACTCAGTTGGTACCGCTGCTCATTCACCCTCGTCCATTACCCCACCACCAAAATTTGCCTTGGCAAGGTCAGAAATGTGGCTGCAGTTAATTTTCATGCGGCAAATACACAATGACGCTTCACTCAACACACGCGCATCTGTGCCTGAACTGGCAGCCTTGTCTTGTTTTCGACGAGCTCACCGGGCTGCCTCTGAAGACAAACACAGACCTCAATGCGAGCATGTGCATGTGTGTTTCCTTTAATCAGCCATGAATTTTGGAGGAGCCGGGCTCCTCTGTGGTCGCCGACCGCAGAACTACGTTATCCAGGGCCTCGGGCTTGATGTCTTTAATTTAGGATCTGCGGTTGGGTCGAGTGTAACCTGATAAAACTCTTTTTCAAATGATAGAGCGGCCATCTGCTTGGCTGGCTGCAGAAGTTGGGTTGGTGGGAGTAGGATATTGGTTTAGGTTGTGTATGAAATACATATTTTGTCCTGTATATGTATATTAGAAGTTTAGTGTCTTAATAGCTTGAGGGAAACATACTTGTCAGGATTGTAGACGTTGAGTTCCTCCAGGAACAAGCTGTCGTTTAGGAAGCCGTTGTTCATCTTAGCGAGGAACTTGAGGATGATGCCTTTCTCAGATCCCAAGAAGACCACAGTGTGGTTCCTATAGGGGCCCGCTTCACTGTCCACCACAATGCGTGTCAGGCGATAGCTGAAACACAAAATACCAACACCTAGTTGACTTTCTCTGGTCCCAATCAGTTGATCGCATCCACTTTCATCTTGGTTCGGTTTCTATTCACATGGTGAAAAATCTCCAAGCAAAGCACGTGAAATCAATCTCTTGTCCTGTTGGTCACAATAATGTAAGTAAGGAAAAAGTTTTGGTCGCACGGGCTCGTGAGTAAAACTAAGTGAGTTGTGGTTTGCTGAAAATTTGAATCAAGATATATGAGTCTATGACTGTAGAAAAGCAAAACCAAAGTCACGTTTGGAGGCTCTGCCGAGTCCATGCGACAATGTGTGACTCCACAATCTGAACTGGTTTCAACTAGATATGTGTGCTAAGTGTGTCATAGAGATAGGTAGATGCAGAGCCAGGAGAAAAGGTCACAGTGACACATCGCCCTAGCTAAAGTCCTCTGTTTAATTATACGTGTCAAAGAAGCCTCATCTAACAGCTTTGATCTCACTATTTTTTGCCACTGGATAAAAGAAATCATACAGCACAAAATATTGTATGTGCAGCCTCAAAACCCGACACAGGGTCGCAGTTTTTCCATTGCTGAAATCAAGGACGGATACGTTTTCTGCACCAATAAAACTAAGTTAATTCTGTATAAGTAACAGATGGCGATGAAGAGCACCAGCAGAGAATAAAAGTTGCAGGTTTTCACCTCTCACCTCTTTCCTCTGGACCTCTTTCACTGAGTTGTGTGCGGTTAATTTATCGCAAGCAAAATGAAAGCATGCAACATTGCACAAAGATCACAACATCAATCAGTGTGCCTTTCATCAGGCAGCTCTGAAATCAAAAGCAGGACTGGCTTCAGCAGGGCCTGAATAATCCTGTTGATTGATTTCGCTTTTAGAGAATGTATGTCCACCCACTCCTGCAGGGAGGAAGTTGGACAATAAGCGTCACCCGTCCTTCTTTTCCCGATCGCTCATGGCCATAAAGTAATCATAATTATAGTAATATATTGTATATATATTTTCATCTAATGGCATGTACTAGTGTAGATGTAGCTTAAAATGTATTTTTTTGCCCTTCTACTGGCACAAAAAATAAAATAAAAGCAATATTCTAAACTTTGTAGAATGGCACAGCTTTGGACTTTTGAAGCGGATAGTCCGTGTGCTCTGCCATATGTGTGCACTCAATGTACATTCGGTTAGAAAAGGATAATAGCAGGGCGGGAAATTCATTTGGGGCAATAGGTATGTTAACCTCATTTCACAATAGTCTCATCAAAAGAAGGTCACATCACTTTTAACCTTGTCGCCCACGCGTTTGCTCTAAACGTCGACTAAACTGCTTGGAGCTGGTAATCAAATCAAAAATAACAGCAAATGTGGTTTAGATGTGGTGAAGAATCTGCGGGGGAGCCAAGGCCAGCGTTGGTTAGATTTGATTTGAGAGAAAGAAGACAGTCTCAAGGATGGATAAAGGATGTTACGTTGTTCCTATCTCTACAAGACTTCTTGTAGTATCTCCTAAATCTTTGATTCATTGTGCTCAGCCAGCAGAGGTTGCAGGACCCAAAAAGTGGATGATGTCGCACATGTTTTCGGTTGACTTCTTGGTCATAAAACCAGTATTCTACAAAGAGAGACAGACAGCTATCATAAAAGACCTCCACATGCCTCAACGGCGCTTATTTTTTTTTTCATCTTACATAAGGCTTTTAACCGCTGACTCTAACTCGCACGCGAAGCTCCGCTCGGTGCGTAGTGTCATTTCTAATGAAATAAAACAGTTATTATGTAAAACCAAACAATTATGTGTGTTTTCATCACGGTGCGTTGATGAAAAGAGACTGGCAGTTCTAACCTTGATGATAAGTGTTCGTCTTCTAAAATGAGCCTTGGCGGTATGTAGGTCAGACCGCTGTAAGATGTGCGATGAGGATGATGATAACTTGCAAAAAGCCAGGAAGAATTCTTTATGCGGCTCATCTGCTCCTTGCTACTACCACTGGCGAGGCTTGTCAAAGGTCTGCCAAGCACTTCAGCAATTCAATCAGAATAAAAAAAACAAATAAAAAAAACTGATGTGTGCTCTGCATAAGTACTGCTTGTTAAAATATAGAGTATAAAAAAAATCAACAATCATGCGCTGGCTTTGGAGAGATTCAAATATACCAAAATGATAGTCCATTGTCTTTGGATTTACTTGGACAGCACTAACTTAACCTTTGTTCACATGTTTTACAAATCTCTCCATTTATAATCCTGTTCAGCTGTTACAAAGAGTATAGCGGGTTCAAAGGAGGTTGGAGTCCTGTCCACAAAATTATGGATGTTGAAAGCCAAACATTTTCTACAGAGCTCTGTCATGGTCACAAATTGAATAGAAGTAAATCTTTTTGTTTGTTTTAAGCAATACTGACATTCTCTTGATAATTACTGTCAAACCCAAAAACAAGAGAAATAATTAGATGGACCAAAATGCCTAAAAACGTATTTGAATTTCCTCAATATCTCTGGCAAATATTGCACATTACGTGTCCAGTAGTACTTGCACAAAATCTTCTGACTTCAAGTCAGTGAACATCCAAAGTAATCATTCCACAAGTATGTTTTGCTTTTTTCTTTGACTTTTGAGTACCAGTGATAGGTAGGTAGGTGAAAAATGTGATCCCCCGCGCCCCTCTCTCTCTAGCTAGCGAGCGAGCTAACTAGCTAGCTCTTGCTACCCATCCATTAAGTAGTTATCTGACTCAAAATAATTGTGTTTGAACCTCATTCAACTTAACACAAAGGAAACACAGAACATTGACTGTGTCTTTTTATTTCACTCTGAGATCTTGTTGGATGATAAGAGAACATTTCGGCTCATAACAGTGAAAACAGGTCACCAGCTGGCCCGTGGTGTTAGCGGCGCTGCGTTTTAATGAGCCTGATCTCAGAGTGGCACTTCACCTAATGATTGCACTGCTCCAAAGAGGCTCCGATGACAACAGGCTTTGGAGTGCGTAATACTTACCGAACCATGGTTTTCAGGAACCAGGGCCGGTTGGCAATAGAAGGCACCGCCTCATCCATCAGCGGATGCATCTTGATAAAGTTAAGAGTGTCGTCGGGGAACTCATTGGAGACCTTGTACCTCTCCATAGATGGACTGCCGGCGCAGCTGCCAGGCCTGCAAATGGAAAAAAAAAAGAAGTTGACAAAAAATAAAATGAGCTGTTTTGTGTGTGTGTGTGTGTGCGTGTGTGTGTGTGTGTGTGTGTGTGTTTTGACAATGACTGGTCACACCATCTGATTATATGTTAACAAATTTAGGGCTGGATTTTATTAAAGATCAAGATCAGTAATTCCCTCTGCCAGCTGTATTTGTTTTTGGTTTGTTGCTTGGTTTGTAATTTCACAGGATTATGCCAACACTACATTTCTACAAAAGATCCAATTAAATTTGGGTCAAAATCTCCAGATTAAAATTCAGATCCGGGCATTCATAATCTTTTTTTTAACCAACTGAGTCATGGTGGAACTATATGCCCGACTCCAGAATGCAAATGGTAATCCTCTCCATCTAGTTCTATTATCAATCACACATCCCCCCTCCCCCCTCACTTTTATTGAAGGATAGTTATTTCTCTCCTCTTGCCATTTGAATCAAGACTGAACCATTCACCCTCATCCCAGAATTAAAAATCGTTTGGTCCAAATCGCTTGTCTTAGACAACGAAGCACAAACACAACACAATGGCGGTCCAGACTTTTAGTAATAGTTCAGCCTCAGCTGTGATCAGAACTCTTGAGTTTGTTGTTGTGGTTGTAGTTCGGCATGGTGTCGAACTTTAATCCTTCATAGTGAAGGAGAGCTGTTTGTAACATTTTGCTCAACTCATTTAGCTCATCTCCAAACCGTTAGACATGTGTCAGTATCATTCAGTGCTGCTAAAAACAATGAAATGAAAGGCAGGATGTCTAATGCAGTTTTTGTAATGTATCTTATTTGACTGTGTGGGTACAGTTAATGTCTAAGAAGCTTTGAGGACAGGTGGTGTCCGATTCTTTTTGGTTACAGGATCAAGTGACATGCTAGCTATCTGATATCTTTACACCGAGAAGGTGAGATGGTTTTAAAAGATCTCTTGATAGCACTTCCCCTTTGCAGGCGTCTCACCTTCGAGAGCTTGTAAAACAATTTTACAGCCCAAGTCTTTGATGCGATGCCACGCCATAAAATCCACAGCCGCTCTCAGAACTATCAGCCAGCTGGCTACTGGACGTATGAGGTGGCAAACATGCAAGGACCAAGCACCTACTTACGGAGTTAAACGTGTGAAATCAAAGTTGAGATGTTGTGGTTGCGTAGGTCAGATGGTTAAGTTTGTGTGTCATGGCCAGTCTAGACGCTCTTGTCAAGTTAGACCGCTAACTGGAAATCTGTCAACTGCTTCAGTGTATGACCAATTGTGTGTTGCTGGTTTTAAGTCAAAGACAGACTACAGTCTCCAAAAATATCACTTCAAACATCATAATTCAGAGGCAAAATCGAAGAAAAAAAATCTACTTTTATTTTTAAAAAAAGGAAAAAAAGAGTTGAAGAGTTGCTTCTTTAGGCTACCAGGTTGACTTTCATTTTTTTTTTGTCTTTTTCAAGTAATTTATTACCAAGTTATGTATATTGCATTATTCAGAAATCTATGCATAAAAACGTAAAACCATCTTTTTTTTTTTTTTTTGGTGTATTGTTGAGCAATTTTTGCAGTAGACTCGCTCACATGTTCATGAACAACAGGTTCAAATTCTGGAGGAGGTCAACTAGTGCTACACAGATTTCTGATAGGTTGTCGCACTCCTTCGCCCAGATGTAGCGCCATCGCGGACTTCATCGTTAAAACACAACATGAAGTCTAAAAATACATATTCGAAAGAACGGGTGCTTAACAACAGCGCTTCATTTGGCGGGCTACTTAGCCTTAGTGGATTGATGCCCCGAAGAGGGCAAAATTTGCATAATGATGGTATGTGAAGGCAGTGGCGACAAGCGCTTCTCTGTGCCGTATAGCTTCATTTATGTGTGCGGACATATGGGCAGCAGAACGGAAACAGACACTTCTTACGTATGAGAAGTGTGTAAATGGTTCGAGGCTAACACATGGAGGAGCAGGCTGCTGCGGGGCCCAGACCTGTGGGTGCCGATGAACCCGCCGTCTGTTTGCCGCCACATAAAAGAGTCCAGAGGATGAAAATGAAATAAATCACAGCAAAAACAACCGCCTGGCTGTCTGATTTTTATCCGACCAGAGGGGGTGAAAAAAAGGGTTAGCTCACACCTACGCTCAATTGCACAATAAGATGCTCGCCACTGAGGAACTACATTTTCAGTCGTACGGAAGCACAGGCAAACACACACTCATACTGCGTAGGAGCAATTACTTTAGCCTTGGTCTTTGTAGTAAATCTGTTCATTCTTGTGAAGAACAGTGGAGTAGCTCTTCGACGGCTAATTAGCGAGCGCTAGATTGATCAGGCTTGAGCGTTTGTGGAATTAGGCAACCGTCTGTAAAACGATCTCATGCTTCATTTGTCGATGCGGGCTCCTCTTTGATGGGGGTGGGGGGGTTGCCAGTGTGTGCTATGGTGTAGCTGTGTAGCATAAGACGGTACAGGCAGAGAGTTAAAACGAGTTCGTTGTGCAATCTTCACATTGAATGTTAGCTTGTGTGGACACAAATCAATGTGTGCATCAGTATGTTAGCAGCACACTTCAGAGTTTCTGGAGAATGACATAAGAGCGGACGGTACCCAAAAATGTTTGTTCAATATCGAACAGATCCTGAATTGTTTGTTAATTAGCATGCTACTTTTTAGCCAATCAAAAATGATGTTATTGGGAATGACACATGGGTCGGAACCATTGGTATTATCTGGGTTACGGGGAAGTTATGCGTGTGTGTGTGTGTGTGTGTGTGTGTGTGTGTGTGTGTGTGTGTGTGTGTGTGTGTGCGCGCGCGCGCCGGCAGTGATTGATTAGCTTCACTGGTACCTTGGCTTGGGAACCTTCTCTTCGGGAAAAGGCGTCCAGGTGGAGTCTGGGGATTTTTGCTCTTTGAAGCGCCCCGTGAAAGTGTGGGCCACCTCCGCCATGTCATAGGCGCACACGGCCGAGCCTGGAATGCTGCCACCGCACAAACACAACACAAAAGCACTGATGAATGAACACATCAAAGATCCACCTTACCTGGAAGCAGAAAAAGGCATTCAAAATCCCCAGAGAGGTCTTGCTTTAGCTGTGCTAATTTGAATTTTAGCGTTGACAAGTCACTCCACAAATGCCATACAGTAGGTACGGTAAGCTTTATAAATATTAAAAATACAACGTCAGGCTGAACTAAGCATTCATTTAAAGGGTATTTCAGACCACATAATTGTACGGCTTATAAATAAAGACCCAAAATGACACATTTTCACATGGTATTCTCTCACTGTGCGTAGGTAGCTTATCATTAACAGCTTGATCCTACTACTTATTGGTTTTGAAGTCCATCAAACCTCATCAGTGAGTCACCGTAGACCCCACGGGGCGACTGAACCACACTGGATCCAGACCAAGTCACCGGAGGTCTGTTTATTTTTCATGCTGACACAGATTACTCCCACAAGTCAACACAAGAAATGTGTTTACGTGCATATTCCACGCAATATAATCGTGGTTTAAGGTCAAATTCGGATCAGTATGTAGCGCTCTGCTAGTTTGTTGCTGCGATGTTTGTGAACATCACAAGAAGCCATCTTATGGGTGTTTTGAGATGGAGTGAGTTAAATCTTGGTATCGTGCTATGGCATTCATCTTGTCTACTTTTATGATAAGTTATCGTTACTTCCCCTCCCTCAGATGTTTAAGAGTTCCTGTCTGTTATTTTATCACCTCTGGATATAACAATTGAATTATATATGTCAGTAACAAATGGACAAGACTGACGCCTTCAGAATAAAAACTGAATTTCAGCCAATACCGACGTTTCGATGACTTCACTATAGCCCTGGATGAAAACAAATGGGAAATGTCTTTACGTAATGAGATGGTGTAGGACTACAGGGCAATGGGGGCACAAATATTTGACTCACTTTGGGCACTGGCAAACCACACTATGCTGTCTTCCGCAGGGATCACTGGCGAAAGCTTATGTTTCCGATTACTGTTTTGACTAAAGTCTCTTTGATTTACGTGCGCTATATTTAGCAGTGCGCTATTAAATATGGGAGTTTAGCGACGTCGGAGGCCCGCCAAGTCCGATGAGCACACCATGACTGGATCTCTCCGAAAGCCTCGAGGGCATCAGCGTTCATCACGAGCCCACTGTGATGGACAACAGATTATTTTATTATTGCTATTCATTTAACAGCGCGGGAAAGAAAACGATCTTGTGATGGCAGCTCGAATTTTCCTTGAATCAATGCATAGCACACCGCTGAGTCACTTTTGGTATTTCACAACTCATCCGCGCTCAGAAAAATCCTAATTTAACAGAGTTTCTTTCATGATGGAGTGGTTTTTTTGGAATGATTGGGATGGATTTTCGGGCCGTTGCCTCATGGATAACCCCTTGAGACAAAATCCCAGACAAGGGCAGTATTATAGAGAGCTAGCTGGTAATGATTGGATTTGCTTGTAAATCACAACCATTGTTGTCTGCATAGGATAAATTAGCGTGTCAAGTGTCTGGTATGAAACAGTCAGCAGGGCTACCAAACAAAGTAGAAAGTAAAATTCTTTCTGTATTTTTTTTTCTTTTTCAAAATTCAGGCACTTTTTAAAATATAGTGACACCATTTAAATTGAACACACGCAAGTTGGAATTCAACCGACAATATTTATAGTGTCAAGCAAGACCTCTTGGTATAGCTTTGCAAACTGTGTTTTAACAAAATGTTTTCATTCACTCCGCTAAACTACACGCACTCTTGTCCTGTGCGATTCAATTCACCCTTAGGTTAATTTTAGGAAATCTGAGCTGTATTTCTTTTACTAAAAGAAAGTCCGCATCTCAAATGCTATACTGTAAAATGTTTGGTTTGAAAATATGCACACTTGAATCGAATGTTCTTTTAATATTTTTAGTGTGCATGTGCACCTGCGCACCACTTATGTGCACCCTGGAATTATAGCGCTTAATATTGAATCTGAAGTGAGAGAGCACATGGAACAACAGTGTGCATATGAACAGTAAGCTCTTTTGTATGTTTTGGGACAATACATGGATTTGAATAAATTGATGACAAACAAGTATTATCCATAATATATCCAAGGGCAATATGTGCCCCCGCATTGATGCCGACTGGAGCCAAGCTTCACAGGGGAGCTTCATTAAATACTGTTGAGGCAATCGCTGTGGGGTAAAGGTACCCAGGAATCCAATTTTTATCTAGATAAAGACTTGACAGAATCTGAGAAAAAAGTAATCGATAGAGTAATCGATAGGATAGTCCTAAATGTGAGTGTGAATGAATGTTTTTCTACAACTTTGCCAAGGCATCAGCCCAAAAGGTAGGATCAAGATAAACTCGGGTTCAGCCACCATGACGGTACCAGAGGAAAAGCGCGACAGAAAATGGATGGATAGATTTCCTATGGGAAAAGTTTTGAAATCCAATCTGGGGCTGATGAGCTTTAAAATGTAATGTTGAACTCTCCTTGCCTTCAACTCTTTCCTAAAATTTATGGCAGGCTTGTCACCTTGTTTCTCCAGAAATGACAAGATGCTTTCTATAGTCTAAATATGCTCCTTCTAATTTCCCACCATTACTGAGAAATGGAAACGCACAAATCAAACGACGCACTTATAGAAACATTCATAGGCGCCGCTTCATTGAGTTTAAATGTCCATTAAGCAAGCTCAATTGCGGCGTCACAAGCAATTGTCTTATCTGTTAAAAAAAGGAGCCATAAAACGGAGAATAATATGCATGAGCCCCATGGCTTGGTGTTAATTTTCAATTTAGATGCTGCTTTTGAATATGAAGGCCGCGCTGAATACAAATTGCGCAAAGGAAAAAAAGAGGTTAAGCACCTGAGCGTCGAAAGGGCAGCGGGACTGTTTTGATTGGAGATGTAAATGTTGACCCAGTGGACTCACAGATTGCCACAAGGCGACACGCACGCACACACTTTTAGATTTCGCAAAGGTCGGCCTGTCACCGTGTGGATGAGCTGTTGTTTTGATAATTGGGTTAATGAATACAAAGTCATTGTTGATGCACACGTACAAAAATGTGCTTACGATCTGCGCCTGATCTTCGGAGGAATTACCGTAACCTGTCAGAGGTTCATGTGGTCAGGAGAAATGAGGTTCACAAACTGGGTCCCAGAAATTGCAAAAAAATTCTTTATCTAAATGATGTCTAAATTATGACTTTATTTTCATAACATGACAACTTTTTGTTTTGCTAAGAAATACAAATTTGTTATCGTAACATCATGCCTTCTCTCAAAAATAGGCAACTTTTTAAAATTTCTACTGCATTCAGAGTACACGTTGGAATCCCTTGTAGATGGTCCCCCAGACCCAAAACGTGAACGAAACCAAGGCCTATACAACTTCATCTCACCTGTTGTACGGTGTGGAGAAGGTGGCCATCACAACATCCTTCCCGTTGATGTGAATGACGTCAGTTACTGCCTGCAAGATGTTGAAGTAGAAATGGGAGTCGCCCGGAATGGAGCAGTTCAGGCGGGATTTGAGGAACGATGTCCATTGCTTCTCCAGGACGCGGGGTGAGCCGCCTCTGTCATTCTTGCAAACCCTCGCCACCCGAGGAAACACCACCTGGCCCCAACATCAATGTGGAAGATAATGTTAGCCACTCGTATAGTTTTTCCTAATAAACACACTGTAAACAATAATTCACTATCCATCCATTCATCCATTTTCTAATCCATTTATCCACACCAGGGTCGCGGGCGTGCTGGAGCCTATTCCAGCTGTTTTCAGGCTGTAGGCGGGGGTCCACCTTGAACTGGTTGCCTAATACGTCAATGTTGTTCTAGTTGACCGCTACCTGCTATGTTTAGTGTAAAACACAGATTAAGATTGATGTTATTCGTACTAGGACAAAACATCCACACCTAGCTAGCTTGCTGCCAAATGAATCATGTGTGTGGTAGCAGGGAGAAATGGAAAACGTGCAGGATATCGGCCCTCGAGGCTTGACCTTAAACGGAATGATGAATCTTCCGTTGAGACTGACGGAATGTCCACCTCTAAAAACTATGCGAGGCATACAGTAGAGGTTTAGCTTGATGCTTACGGATATGCGGTGATAACTATTAAAAGCATAATAGCACATTGTAAGCTTGCCGCTAATTTCAATTTGAGATAGCAACAGGTAGCTTGCTTCAGGATACTCTTAATTCCGTCAAACTACAACGCATACATGATAAAAGAATCAAAACAATATGTGGCCAAAATCAAGTTACCCCCTCATTGTAAAAGTTGAATGAAAATGGCTCGAGAATAGTGTTAGCTGCTACTAATTGGCATCAAAATTGGGCTCGGGAATAATGTTAGCTGCTAGTAATTAGCATCAACATTGGACTCGAGAATAGTGTTAGCTGCTAGTAATTAGCATCAAAATTGGGTCCTTGCAGTTCAGTAGAACTATGTAACTACATTCAATATTTATATCAAGTGCTTGCTCAAGGTCTCGAACGATTAAATAAAGAAGTGGTAGCCGAAGTACATGTAGCAGAAGTCTATGGAAAATGCCCGGCTTTTGTCAAAGCCGGCGCTTTAATTACAATGTTGCCACCAGAGGCCTAATTAAACTACCGGTATATTCACCACGCACTTAACAGCAATAAATCTAACCATGACCTGAAAACTCTACTTACACTAAATAGGGAGAAGGAGTGTGAATACGCACACAATAAACACACATTTTGTGAAACCACACATTCGGATCAATTTCCTCCTTCTTGAACATAGAACTCACATATGTTCACTTTAAGATGGCAGAAACATTATGACAAATAAGAGGTGACACTGTGTCCAAGTGAATGTGTGACAAGGTGTCAGTTTTACTCATTACACTTAATTGGGTCACACGTTTGCTTCCTGACAAAAGTCACGCTCCGGCTTATCTGCATTTTACAAACTACACACATGTATACACACCGGAGGCTGATCATTTATTTTGTTTTAGGCGACTTTCACATCACTTTTATTTTTTTTTAATACTAATGCACGCTAAACCACTGAAATGACTTTGATCAATTCACCATTAAGCACAGGTGAAGAATTTTTCGACATAGATGAAGGACAATTTCGCATTTCGTAATGACGTGTTATCCATTAGCAACTGTTAAATTGCTCAGTTCATTCGCTGCATGTATAATTATGCCGCTTTTAAAACAAACCGCAAGATTGAACACTCCCGTCAGTCACTCCTGGCGGGAAATCCATTATTCCAAAGATTCTCGTTGGCTCATCTCATCACTTCTTTTTCTCACTCCCTCTTATGCATTCCATTTGTTCTGAAAATGCATATGGGCAGACCCTTTATCCAATTTCTTCTATCTGCTTTCCAATTAACGTTTGCCCTGTGGAAACCAACGCTTGAATTGAAACGGATTTAACAGAAGGCGTCTTTGTCGCTATCCTCCCCCTGGTGCAAAAACTCAGTCTTAATACTCGGTGAGGAATTCTACTCAGGAATCGCTGAGAAGATGGGAGCCGTATCACAAGGATGCAGATGGCGAGTATATTTGGACTTTGCAAGTGAGATCTCCACATCTATTTTAGGTCCTTCATACTGTCCAGTGTTGGGCGTGTATTGAAAAATGTTTGGCCTCCTTCCAGCTAATGTATACACGACATATCCTGTTAGTTCCCGCACATACTTTCTGCCGAGAACACTTCTGATTGGCGCTCAACAATAGCAGAGGAATGAAGCGCTTGCTTACCTTTCCCATCGTGTTGTACTCCATGGCAATTTCCCTGAAGAAGAAATAGATGAAGTCTCCGTAATTGACTGCCTGCACAAAGTAGGGCTCTGAGAAGACAAAGAAGCATGGGGGAAAAAAAAAGACTCAGATTGTTCCAGCAAGAGATGTGACATGTCATTTCACAATAAACAACAACCATGTCATGTCATGTCATGATATTCGGCGGGGGAAAAAAGCCAAATGGGAGCTTTGAGTGCCTCATCCATCATATCCGCTCGAACATTTGCATAAAAGGTAAAGGCTGTTCCCCATTGAGATTTGACAGGCTCGACTGGTGCGCTTGCTCTGCCCTGCGGCGCGTCAATTTCTGCTCTCCATGCAACCTGCTCAAACAGGTCGGCAAAAATGAACAAGCAAAATTAGCATAGGAGACGACACACCCGGTGTATAGAGGCGCCAGATCCAAGCGTATGGTCAGCAATACATCACAGAAGCCGGGTCTTTCTGCATTTTCTGTCAACTTTCAAACCGCGGGTAATTTATGGCATGTGACGTTGGATGTAGATGGGTGCGCACACAACCACATTACCTCAGTTGTTTATTGTAATTTTCTCTCTCAATTAAAACAAAAAAATCTATCGAGTTGTAAAGGTTTGAAGTCACATTAATGGTGGAAAAATTAATTAAAAAAAAAATTTTTTTTTTTAAATTTTTCATTTTTATCTTTTGTCTTTTTTTTTTTCATATCCCAAAAACCTGGCATTTGCCACTGGTGTGTAAACTTTTCATATTCCCGTCAAGCAATCTCATTTCATTTAGTGAGCATCAAAGGATTCACACAGCGCATTGGATTTGTGTTGCAACTGTATTTTTATGTATAATTTTGCTCTGCATGTGCATTTTTGTGTTTAACAGTTTTAGTACCTATATTAAGAAGACTTTTAACTGTAAAAATTCAAAATATTTAGCCAAAATGAACTTTGAAGCAGAGCTACAATAAGCAAACCACGTTGTTAAACAAACGTGACAATTATCCATCAAGTGTATGCATCGGTGCAGTTCAAACAACAGATTCATATTTTTTTGGGTACTTTTCACAAAGAAAGGAGAAGCAGACACAACGTGCTAACCATTTGGAAACTGTGACGTGAACTAGAATGCCTGACGGAAAAAAAAAATGTGAGAAGTATCATCGTATCATGGCCTCACCTTTTAGCCACTTGGAGTCATGTTTAACCGTACGCAGAGTCGGGCTGTCTCCAAGGCTACGATAGATGACCGCATCAATGGCCAGAAAGTCGGTGACCGTAGCCGAGTACAGCTTGCCGTCTGGAGAGGGACGTGGAAACGAGAGAAAAGGACATTGAGAATTGAATCGGACGGGAGCAGAAAGAAAAGGCCATGAGGGAGAGTGTGAAGTCAAATTGGGGGAGAACATACACAAGGAATATAAACACTGTATTCCTGCCAACTGTCAACAGTCCGTACACTCTGGTCAACCTGTTGGACATGTGTAATTCCTCACCAGCGCCTTTAATGTGCACGCACACACATGCAGTCACACACAGAAAACAGCACCGACGTGACCTCGGTCCACCTCAGATGGAACCACAGTGGAAACTCAAACTACATAATTGAAAGGGTGGCTGGGAGAGGAGCCCTCTCCATTACTCAGTGCTTCCAGCTTGCTGTCACACATTAGCCGGTCAAGCTGCGCCTCCTCCGCTGGAAGCTCGCAGGGACAGCTCATCAATAGCGCCATTAATCAGATGGCAGCGGACATGAAATGGGGACCCCAATGTCTTTTGCGGCCCATGGCGAGGTTGCACGGGAAGATTTTCATCAGAAGAAAGTCGAGTCATCAGCGTATGCATCCATTTGTGACTTTTTTTGTCAGCCAACCAAGTTTATCCGTCCTTCCCTTTTCTACTGGATTGGTCTCATTTGGATCCCGGAAGAAATGGAGCCTATTAGAGCCAACTCAATCACAGGCCACATGAAGACAAATAATCATCACGCTCACAGTCACACCAGTGGACAATTTAGAGTGGTCAATGAACATTGCGAGCATATTTTGGGAATGTGGGAGTACATACAAATAGAAAGGCCTGAGCCAAGAATTGCTTTTGAAATTATTACACCTTGGAATTTCAACCAGTGTCACAAAATGGATTGTGTTTGACTTTGGCGGTTCCACTGTTTAAGATTAGTATGCTTTGACGCTCACCAGCAAAGAGGGCAACGTTGGCATGCTTGGCGTCATAGGGGCAACGAGCCATCCCGCTGATCTCCTCTCCGAGAGCCTCCAGGGTGTCCATCTACGGTCACAAATGGATTAATTGAGACAAAGTAGTTGTGAAACATCGTCTTAAAGAAGTATCAAGGGGAGAGAAATCTTGTATGCTTACTGTAAAATAACCCAAATAAAAAGTAAAGAGTTTGACCTTCTCCATCACATTTTTTTGCTGTAATTCAATGCACATGATGCTTCTCCTTCTGGTATATGCACCATGGCCACCTGGGGGCAGTAGAAGGCAGGCATACGGCTATATATGGAGGCGTCACAGCTTCCAAGATTGCCTAGTAGTGGTAGTTCTTTGCAGAGGATAAAGAAGATATGCCAGTGATTTTTGTAAAATAATCTGTCTATATGTGTTGTGCCACCATTTGAGTTCAAATGAATATGTCTACGGCATTTGCATTATTTGTTAGCATAAGCCTAACCAGACTTTATTAGGTGTGGTTGTTGGAATAGAAGCAAATCAAACACAAACATTAAAGGCGGCCTTTGTACTTCAACTGTGTTTTGTACGACTTTTGAGGGATCCGAACCAGGCTGCTTTTAACAACTGGAATGGGTTGCAGAAACAAGCATCCATCCATGTACACTTTTTGGAACATCCTGCAAAATGAATTTCTCCTTGACCGTGTCCAACTGCTCCACAAAGGGTGTTGGAAATCGATTAAGCTGTTTTTGTGACTAAGGAAGAACAAACAAACAAAATCTAAATTGTGAGATCCACACAACCGCCGTGAGGGAGAAATGTGGCTTGAATGTGCGTCCAAAAGTGAAGAACATGTGGCCAAGTAGAATTTTAGGTCAGTAGTCTGGAATAAAATATTTGTGGTATCACCCCACGAGTGAGTCCATGTGACTGTCTGTGGCTGTCACAGCAGCGCATGCGGAAAGCCCATTTTCCACAGCATTAAACATATTTACTTTTCCCCTTACCTCATGCATTATCTTAGCGCATAAAACGAACTTAAACGCAGCTTTGATCCATTTATTGCGACGCCGTGATGTGAATGGGGAGTCGCAGGTGCACACAAAGGAAATTTGACAATGTTTTGAAGCTCGCTACTTCCTGAATATTTGATCAGAAGAGACTTCTAAGTGAATGCTTTGCACGACCAAAGCTTAAACCCCTGCACTAATGCCGCTATTTCCTCAAAGACACTCGCTAGACTCTGTTAAATCGTGATTTCAGGACCTAGTGGCACATTTCCAGCCGACTAGAATGTTGTGTGTGATTGGCAGAGGACCACAAGTGGACGAAAGGTCAATGCCATTCCTCTAAGGGTCAACTTGTGTTCCCCAGCATGTGTATGGCTGAAAGCAGAAATACACACGAGGTCAGGGAAACGAATGAAATGCTGCTAGCCTCTCCTTTTTTTCCTTCTCCTCTATTCTGCTTCCTCATTCGCTTAACAAAGAGAGAAGCTGCGAAGTTCTTAACGCCGCCCTTTCTGGTCTCTAAACGGGTCATTTTGTTTTCTATTCCTGTCTGGGTGGGGGAAAAAAAACAGCTATCATCTGCCAGCTATAAAAGGTCACACGCACTCACACATGCTAACACACGCAACGTTTGCCAGGGAAATTGTTGGCACAAAAAAATAAATACAACAGGACCAGCAGTAGAAACATATTTCAGAGTCTTTCCTTCCTACTGTTTTTTTTCTGATCTTATAGCTGCCTTGAGATACAAGCTTGATTCTTCCCATAGCCATGCTTGTAACTCAGAACACTCTAAGATCATTTTCCCAATTGAAATTAATGGAAATGCCTTAAATGTATTTCAGTCCGCCCCCGACGGAAATAAAATAAACACATGAATAGAGTATATGTCAAAACTCCTCAGAAAACAAAAATATTGGTCGTTCTTAGATAACAAATTATCTGTGTTGCATCATCTTTTTTGTTCAAACATCTGTTGCTGAAAGGGTTAGAAAACCGCTACACCAATAATATTCATGTTGTTTTTTTTTTTTTTTAACACTAAGCTAAAAAGACTTATCTAAAGCACGGTTATCTGGTTATTTTACATACACAAGATGCATTTCCCTTTGTTTTAGGTTTAGTTTGACAGTAAATCTCAACTGAGAGCGCAAATGAGCAGCTTTTTTGATGGATTGAAGAATTCTGCCAAACTTCTGCTTGTTGTGATGTGAGTTGAGTTCACTGCCCCCATCCAGACAAATTAGATACAGAGACAGACAGACTGACAGAGAGACAGAAGTCCGGTCACTTGGTATGTCAAAGCACCACTGTGTATGTCTTTTATTATACAGGCCAGACAGTTTGGAACGTCGCCTCACCCTCGCATACATCCCACATAAAAACACACACACCCCAGCGGGCATTTATCCCCTCTGTTGATGTCACGGCAGCGTTGACCTCTGTCCAAGGGTCTCGGCCGGCTGTCACTGATCTATTCCTGCCGTTTGATCATGTGGAAACCCGTTTCAAACCCAACCGCTGATATACGCTCGGCTTCTGACAACCTGGCAGGCATGTGTGGAGAAACACCAGAACTGTCCGGGGCAATATCCCGCTAATGTTAGCCAGGCAACAAACCTCCACAAAACCTGCCAGCCTGAGCTAAAACAGTTGTAAACATAAAGCATTCGGAGGGCGGAACAGCTTGAGTCTTGTTATGCCGTCAACTCCGCTAACCTGTAAACAAATGAAGTCCGAGGCAATGTAGTGCAAATCCAAAACATGGACACGATTTGACGGAGACATGTAATGCCATTTTCCTCATAATTTAAAACTGTTTCAAGGTGGCTTTTCAAAATGTCTGTCTTGCTTAAGTCAAAACAGTCAAAATACCAAGAATTATAAAACATGTGTCCTCCCTAAGGAGCCCAAATGAAATCAGGTGGTTTTGAGTTATTGTCCTCGCTCGTGCAAATGAGCCACTGCTCACCCTCAACGACGGGTTGTGTCAATGCGAGTATTGCTTGACATATGAAGATGACCGAGCGTGAATCCTGGGAGAAAAATACAAGTACAGCAGTGCAGCCATGAATCTGAGTCAAACTCAGAAAAAGATGGAGTGTCATAGTTATAACGGGATTATTACTGGATGGTTATTTATGAACTTTATGTTACTTAAGGGCGGCATGATGGTCGACTGGTTAGCACGCTGGCCTCACATTGCGGAGTGTTCGATTCCGGCTCCGGCCTTCTCTGCAGAGTTTGCATGTTCCCCTCATGCCTGCGTGGGTTTTCTCCGGGTATTCCGGTTTCCTCCCAAATTCCAAAAAACATGCATGGCAGGTTAATGGAACACTCAAAATTGTCCCTAGGTGTAATTGTGAGCGTGGATGGTTGTTCATCTGTGTGTGCCCTGCGATTGGCTGACAACCAGTTCAGGGTATGCCCCGCCTACTGCCCGAAGACAGCTGGGATAGGCTCCAGCACACTCGTGACCCATGTGAGGATAAGCCGATTAGAAAATGGATGGATGGATGTTACTTAAGATAAAGTTCATATGATGTAGTGTGTTTCGGTTATTTCATTAGTTATCAGTCACTATAATGATTTTGCTGCAGTCAAACTTTTTTCTCTAAACAAGCAATTAAACTGTCACTCTTGCATAGTTTGTCGCTTTTAAACGTCAAGTCAAGTACTAAAAGTGAGGCACGTGCTCCAAAATTTTTCAAAACTGAGTTGACTTGTTGATCATTACAAGTCCACCGGAAATGTTTATTTGAATGAAGAATTATGCGAAGGTCCTGTGCTATTACCAACAAACTTTGTTCCAACATCCAAAAGTATTCATGTGCTGAAACAACAACAATGAGCGAGGGAGGTCATGAAATATCAGCCGACACATGAATTAATAGGCCAATACAACATTGCGCAAATGAGACAACCTGCATAATTATTCATGCGCGAGTTCACACATGGGCAAGAACCAACCAAGGACGCAGCACCTCAGCGGGACATTAATCGTCATGGCCCATTTCTCCGCAACCTGTTTGCCTGACATGCCTTGTTTCTGACACTTTTACATGCTGGAAGGGGAACCAAAGTCTTTGCAGCTGTTCATAAAAAAAATAAATAAATAAAAAAAAACGCACATCATAATCAATGCGAGGTTAAACGGTTTCATCTGTAGTTGCATGTGAGAATTTTCTGATAGAAAGCAATCTAAAAAGAACCAACAAATGTGTACGGTATTAAAAAATGTTTTGTTTTTATACAGATAATATTCAGTTTTAATAGACACTGTTTTAGTTTTTGATTTCACAATTTGTTTAGAATTGCAGTTGCAGTTGACAGTGACATTGAACTGCCCCGCATTGAAGAAGCCCCAAATATCAACGTCACCAAGGTAGAACCCATTTAATTTAAGTATTCGTCCGGATTGAGCAATTTATTTTAATTTTTTTAAATTTTATTTTATTTTTATTTTATTTTATTTTAATTTTTCTTTGCAGTCCACTTATAATCGGGGCCCAGTTTTCGTAATTGGCAGCCACTTTGTAATGCTCATTACTGCCACCTACTGGATTGGAGTGGACTTGTATGAACCTGGGAGTCAAACCGACATGTTCTCTTATTGTGTTGCTGCCATCTCTCCCTGTCATTTCTCTATAATGTTTGTCAGGGAAGGCTTCGGTACCAAATTGACAAGGAAACGACCCGATTTTTCCATCAAACGAGGTGTATGGGCAGATTGTTCGTTACGGAATTATATCTTATCCATTTAAGTTTGAATTGACGTTTCTGATTCAGAATCTTTTTAAAAGACTATCAATCCTTCTAATGTCAGCGTCACAAGATTAGCTGAGCGCAACTCGATGGGGTGGATGTTGGTTGAACTGACAAAGGTTTGATTGCTTCTCTCTGGCTTGTCTTGCTTACCAGGATTTTGACCTTTCACGGTATCTTTGAGTTTGAATTTAGACCGGCACAGATATACTTCCGTAGTGTGGCCTTGGCGGCGTCCTCTATTGAGAGGAATGTTTGTAAAATGTGAGAACTGGACTCTGAGACCAAGGAACCAAGCTGTGGATCACCTGGCGACTTAACAGCCTACGGACACCATGCTGATCGCCAACACTTTGCTCGGCAACCACAGTTGAAACCCGTTGTCCGTTCATACGTGGCAACCAGCTGGACGGACTGTTTATTATAACGGCGCAGTCAGGGAATGACAGGCGGAGAAAGCAACAGTCGAGAGGACGTCGACAGAGAGGAATTAAGACCGGCAGGAGAGAAGGAACAAGGGAAGGGGGGTCCGAGGGCTGCTTGGGTTTTGATTGCGTGTGTACTGACATTAACACGGAACAAGGGAGGAGGGATAACTAACAGTAGCTAATGAAGAGGCAAAATTGGAAGAGCGGTGCCGGTTATTGCTTTGGGTGGGAGCCACCGCCTGCCCCCAGTGGGCTCCGTCCACCTCTGCTCCGTCTGACCCCCCCCCCAACCGACCCCCTCCCCCTTGCCCTCTCCTTGTTGATGAACGTGGGATGAGGCCGACCCCTGGAAACAGAAGCTCTTTTCACTGGTGTCACACAGGGGAGACAGAGAGGAAAACTGTGGCCAAGGTGCCACATACACGCACACGCACACACATTCATACAAACACACACGTGGAAAAAAACCAACACGCTGCTTGACCCGAGTGGAATTGAAGACCCCGGCATGCATTCAAAGGACTGACAGCCTGTTAGCATTCCTTGTAGCATGTGGCCATTTTAGATTGGCGGAATGACGGATGGGTAGATGGAGGCACTGACTGATAGATGGATCGATTGAGCGATGGCTTGGTAGACAGACAGATTGCTTAAGAGCATACTTTCCTGCAATTGCCATAGCACAAGTCGAGTGATGCGTTTTTTTTTTTTTCTTGGAAAATTGCAAGCACATACGCTTAGCGTTTAATTATTTATTAGTCTCACAGTAGGGAGACTGACTCGCTAATCAAGGAATTTGCCCTTGCAAATTTTCAACACGGAAAAGTCGTTCTTCTACCTTGACATCAATCACATTTTATAGTGTTTCCCCTGCAGAAGAAATCTCCTTACAAGACATACCTCGTTTCTTGTATATAAGAGGTGCTTCATTTCGACATTTGTAAAAGCAAGCATCCTTTGTATTTGCAGCGAGCGAGCTACCTCTCCCTCGGAACTTTACCAGGGCTTGCAGCGGTAATAGCTAAACCTTGAAACCACAACCGTGGGGCCTATAAAAACTAACCACGCCTGATAAATGCAGAGACATAAATTCCACATCGCTGCAGCAGGACTCCCAATATCGCTGCATCCATTCGGTGTACTTAACATGCTGAGCCGTGAAGCCAATGGAGCAGAGAAGTCTTATTTTTTTCTGCTAAAAACATCTGGTGAAGCAAAGCAGTGTGTATGTGTGTGTGCGTGTGTGTGTGCGTCTAAGTTTTCTTCTTTCCCCAAAGTTGAGTAAGATAAAATCAGTGTGCGCCGCAACCATTTCATTCAAACAAAGCAAAACCAACAAGAGGTGAGTCGCTCTCTGAAACATACTCGACTTCAGTAACGTTGAGGATAAAATCTTGCGTGAGTGATTTTAATGCAACATTTTTTTTTCACCAATCCAATGGAACTACTCGTGACGTTTGACCAATCAAACGGATATACTTTATTTCAAGGTGTAGTGGTCTTGCCCCCTGAGCAATTCTGTTGCTCCGCGTTGCTGCGCCAGCTTAATTAAAAGCATCATGTTTAATCATCCAAACATGATCACAAAGAGAAAACATTTGCTTTCACAAGCTCCATGTGCCGAACTTAATTTGACATCAGCGAAAAAGAAAAGGACGACTGGTTGTAGCTGATGATGTTTTCATTTGGATGGAATGCTTAGTCATACCTTACTTTTCATTTATATCGCAGAAAATTTAACAGAATGAAATAGAATAGAACGCCTTTCATTGTAACCATACACGTGATCGTTTATATCAGGGATGTCAAATTCATTTTTGTCGCGGGCCACTTTTGAGTTACGCCTTCCCTCAGAGGGCAGACTTGATGTTTAATCATCACATCGTCTTATTACTTGTACACAACAAATTGATGGATTACTAGTTTTGAAATCAGTCAATGACATGTTTGTTGTTTGTTCACTTATTGTTCAAGTGAGTGGAAACAGGGTCTGAAAATTATCGCAAAATCTCCATGTTATTTATTACACCTGACAATTTGACATTTCGGTACATATTTTAGAAATTATGGAAGTTGACACACATGATCTGCTTTGGCGGGCCACATATAATTATGTGGCGGGCCAGATCTGGCCCCCGGGCCTTGAGTTTGACACATGTGGTCATTAATAGCATTGCAGGTGAGCTGCAGCCTGTCCAAGATGGCTTTGGGCCAGCGGTGCAGTACACAATAGACTTTGTCGCCAGAAAAATCACAGGACACATCCAAACAAACGAGCAGCTGAGATTTGAACCCAGATCCTTCCAACTGTGAGGCAGACGTGCTAAGCACTCAGATACCAAGTTTCTCGGAAATGCTTCTAAGTCACATTTTTACTTTGTGGACGAAAGACATTCATAGCAGAGCACTATTTCACTTTTTATCCGAACACCCACTGTGTGGAAATCCCTGATGTCGAGTAGTTTTTGAAGCCTCCCCGATGTTCAACAAAAACCAAAACACCGCTCACATCTAGTCCTGCTATAAGTTTAAATCCAGTTTTCTTTTACCCAGAGGTCATTAATGGATTTTTTTTTTAAAGACATTTTTTATTTCCCCACATACAAGCAGGCTTCTCTTCAAAAGCAAGGCTTGGTCTTATTTCAGGACTTCTTCATGTGCCTGCGCGAAGGTGGGCCGGCTCGTCCGCCTCTAAATCGAGCGTGTCAAAGTCCACCCGTAGATAACGGGAGTTGTGCAATTCATCCATGTACGTCCGCCCCTCCGCTCCCACGTTCGCTTTTGTTGGCGTGTGCAAAACAACCTCATCGCAGATGCGAGTGGCAGGCAAAGAAAGAGAGAGACGTTTGAAGAAAAGGGGCATCCTTACTTTGTACGTTCGACACGAGGGGTTGAACGCGTTTGTCCCGCAAACAAACAGGGCGTCGTCGTTTTGCTGCAGGAGGACTTTGATGAAATTGTGACACTCGTCCTGCGGCACACAAAGGAGAGAAAGAGAGGAAAAGGAGACATTTGTCATTTTTCTTTCTAATTGACACGTTTAGACCGAAAGGCACACTTAGGGGCTCCAATGACAGGTTGTGAGGTTTAAAAAATGAAAGGCCAGCCTCTGTTTGAAGCGCGGCATTTACACGCGCGGAAAATTGCGGGCGTGTAATTGTGACACGCGGCGTTTTCTCTCGCGACGTCAATGTCATGTTTACGGATGATTTTGGATGGCAGCGCCAGGTTTACCTCAACAATAATGAAAGCCAGAGAGGAGATGATTGTACAGTAAATCCTGGGAAAATACAATTAGGCTGCCATTTGATGGAAAGATTAGTACTAATGTGCTCTATAAATTGTGACAGATGAAGGTTTTACGAACTGCAAGGAGTGTGTTATTGCAGTGCATAGTCTGTGTGTGTGTGTGTGTGTGTGTGTGTGTGTGTGTGTGTGTGTGTGTGTGTGTGTGTGTGTGTCTACCTTGTGCTTCCCTTTCATTCGGCATGTGTCCACGTCAGCCTGCCTGGACTTCCACGTCATTTTCTGCAGGGAAAGATCCAATCAAGTTAAAGTCAGGACCATTAGGAAGAGAAAACAAAACATGAAGTCAGATAAAATAATAAAAAAGCATACTGGCTAGGCGACACTCATTGGACACCTCATTAGGTACCCCTGCACACTCTTATGGGATCCAACACAAGAGTTGTATCAAAATTGTTGTTGACTTTTCATTGACATTGGTAATGGCAGAATTATATGATTTAAAAAAAAAATGTAAAAATTAGGTTAACGTTTTTACTCTTTCTTTCATAATGAAGAGGGGAAATCTAGCTCCTACTGTTGTTCTTCTATCCAACAAAAATATCGGGACAATTAATCCAATATAATTGGTGATAATATCTATATCTATCTCGGCACAAGTAGTACGGGGAGTTTGCGCCGTTGTGGGAATGAACACAGCTGGCTTGTTTCCCGGCCAGTGGAAGCTGCACCCCTCAATCCCTTTAAAGTGGAAGTCAGCCCCACATTTATTTTTTTTTTCACAATATGTTCTATGCGCCTCCACTAGTCTGAACACAGCAATGAGAATATGTTTGTGGAATATCAGTTTAACAGCAAAACCCACCCGTTTTGACCCATCTCTGGGGGAGGCCATTTTGCGACTTTCTGTCAACCAAATTATTTTTTTTCAATCAATGCCCTATTAAACATGTCCTTGTATAACATGTTGATTTTTGTTGTAGTTTGCAGTTTACGGAGAGGTGCGCCGCATCTTACTAAGAGCCGTTTTAATAGTTTGTTTACTTTACAAAGCTACATGAGGCTCTCAAACCATTTGGAACACCTATTGCGATGTGGTGTTTTGATGCAGTGGCAATGCGGAGAGCTATTAAAATTGAATGGAAAGTTCTAAACGAAAACCCCTCTTTTGAATGTGCAGGTTTAGCATCTGTAATATCCGTTCAGCGTGTACTGTGATCAACAATGTGAAATTCTTGCTCAGTCACTGTCCTGCCGAGGCTGCTGCTCAAACGTGAAATTTCCCACTTAACGCTGATCAGGGGGACCAGGTCACAAATTGAACTTGTAATTGTCAGGTATTAATGGGGGGACAAACGACGCTGACTCTGGATCGGTCTGAGAGCCGCAGAGCCCCACAGTGTGGTGATTAGAGCTCTTGGGCTAATTGGTTAGTTATTGCAGAACGCACGCACACAATGGTCTGCTTACGGATCCGTGGGTAGCCAACACAACATGTCAGTCAGCTATAAACACACGGCTGCATACATCCGCTTTCATTGTCGCACACACTTATCAATCAATGGCCTTGCAGCGCTGTCACACACACACACACATACACTCGCACACAGTGGCCCCTGAGTACCGTCCGTGATCAGTCCCTGCCCGCCGCCATTGTGGGGCATGTTTGGAGCTGATTAAAGAGTCTCGGTCATCAATCAACAAGAGCCTTTCATGTGCTCGCTGCTCTCATTAGGGCCCGTTGGCTGAGCTTTGACATGGGGGGGTGGGGGGGAACACACCCTTATTTGAATTGCAGTAAAGTCTGGCGATCTGTAAGGGTATTGTCAAAAACTGCCAACAATTTATTCTCATCCCGTAAAATTATTTTGTAGTTTATACTAAACAATCACCGCGAAACACTTTATGATCAATTTTAACTCATCTTACGATATTGCTGTCAGCCCCCGCCTGTGGCTACTCACACACAGATATCACACATCACCCCACCAGGCCCCGCCCCTTAAAGGCACATATCCAACACAGATACAGTACTACAAAACATCCAGAATTTTCAGTTTTGTGCTCACAATTTTTTTGTGTGTGTGTTCAAATATGTCTTTGAAATTCGACACAACACAGAGAAAAGTGTGGTTTAAAAAAGTTGGATGACGGGCGTAAAAAAAGAAATTCGCTTTAATCCTGCAATACTTCTTAACGGCTCCCATCCGTTTTTTTTTTTTTTTTTTCAGGTCTGACATCCAGGTGCTCGAAAGCAGCCTGAAGCCCCGATCCACGCTCTGAGTCTGACATTCTTTCCCCACTTTTCCTCACTATTCGACATCTCTGTGCGATGCGCGTTCACCCATGGACAATAACGAGGCACCCGACAGTGGCTACAACAGTGGACTATCCAAAAGGAAGATCCAATTTCGGGGGTGTAGGCATAGCTAGCTAGCTAACCGCGCATTGCGATTGCATCGCATAACCACTGATGCGCATGAAGGCGTTCCAAGTTCTTTTATAGAATGGGGACCCAAAGGTGTGACCAAAAAAGTCAACAAAACTGAAATGCTTCAAAGCAAAATCCATAATTCAGTACTGATCTTTTGTCTCTGCACATTTTCAGCAATTATTGTCAAACATGTTTAATGTATTGGGAAACAAATCTCTAAATTCAACTGACAAGCTTTTGCTTTCGTTCACAACATGCACAACTTAAAAAAATGGGCAAACTCTTAATTGCCTTCAAATTTCTAGCTCACCCAACATTTTTTTACAGTATGTAGGGGTGTGAAACAATTTTTAATGAGTCTCTATGTAGCGCAATTTTATTTTATTTTTTTTACCTGAGCAAGGTTCACTGTCAGTGTAATGGCGAATGGTTTGCATGAATATCACTGTATTCGGACCTCGTTGCATATGAAGATTTAAATGTGGGATTTTTATCTCATCGTCGCCTTTACTTCCGACATTGTCTCTCGAAGCGTGGATGACGCAGGCGCTTACGGGCTGATTGATTGGATGATCTACTTAACGGGGGTCAACGTGATGCACGCGGCGAGTAAGACGTAACGCATACACAACCACGCGACAGGTGATTAGGGTTACGTCGTTGTCGGCGGCGGAACAAGGCGTCTTCTAAGCCGGACGCACGTCTCGCTTACTCACCTTACTGAAAAAGATCTCGTCGTTCGTGGCGGTGTCCGTGTCCACTGTGTATATGTGATCCCTGGAAGAGAACAAATGAGATAGTGATTGAGCGAGAGGTCAGACAGTTGAAAAATTCAACAAACAATAAATCCATTTGCCTCCTACCCCCTCTTTCCCCGCGGGCGGAAAATGACCTCAAAAGATGGAGCTTTGTGTAAACTTTGTTCAAACTTTAAAAAAAAGAACGATGACAATAGACAAAAGGAGGCCAGAGCGAATTTGCTCTGCAAGACAGAAACAGTCAACAAAGCTTTGGAGTGCCGTGGCGCAGGGCCGCGGGACAAAAGCCTCTTTGTCCCAGAGGAAGAGCTCCAGTGGGGGTGAGGCATGCGGGTTGGGGGAAGGGGGGGAGGGGAGTGAGGTGGCGAGACGAGAGGTGCCAAGTCACTCAGAGCTGTTCAGGTCAATTAAGCTCACTGTTTGAGTTACAGGAAATCTATACCAATGCTCATTACAGCTCAGACGCTATGTGTGTGCGGGCATGTGCGTGCATGTGTGTGTGTGTGTGTGTGTGTGTGTGTGTGTGTGTGTGTGTGTGTGTGTGTGTGTGTGTGTGTGACGGCTGGA